CATATTTCCATAACCTTTCCCATCTCTCAAATCAAATTGCGTAGCCCAGATCTTGTCCCCATTTTATCAAGAATTCCTTGGTTTGCTCATCTTTTAATTCCCACTCAAGAAGCAGGTTATATGCTTTTGAGAGATTTTTCTTTAGGTTTTGTAGAATTTCTAATTGGAATTTACCGTATTTTTCACTCCATAAGATGCACCTGACCTGATGCACCTAGTTTTTAGAGGAGGAAAACAAGAAAAAAAATATTCTTAACGAAACAGTGGATGTATGATTTTTGTGATTCATGCTGCGGCCACAGACATGTGATCTGATGGTGAATTTGGGGTGACCCAATGTAAAAATCCTGAGGATCCATGGGCTTTTACCTCCCCCCTCGTATGCAGCCTCCCCTAGCTTCCCTTATCTCTCTCCCGATCCCACCAATCAGCTGTTTCCTTTCAACACTCCCTTCCCTGTCCTCTGCCTTAGTGTCTTTTCCTTAGCTAGAGCAGCTTTTTGCTCCTCCTTTTCTTCTAATTTCTCTTCTTGTTGCTTTAGTCTTCCTGTCCCCCCCCCTTGCAAGTTTGCTGTCTTTACCTCCCCTCTCCCAGGCAGCCTCCTTTATCTCTAGCTCCCTTATCTCTCTCTCTCTGATCAGCAAACGATCAGAGGCTTTGTTTCAACACCCTTCCCTCTTTCAAAAAAGAGAGCATGATCTGCTTTTTGCCCCTGCGCAATTCAGCTCCAGGGACCATGCATTCACTCCATAAGCTGCACAGACATTTCCCCTTACTTTTTAGGAAGAAAAAGGTGCGTCTTATGGAGCGAGAAATGCAGTATATTTTTCCTTCAAAAAATCTATTTTCTTGTCACAAACAAATTTATCATTCAGTTGGTAATACTGGAGCCAGCTAGTGCAATATACTTTTAGTTCTTCATACGATTTAAGTTTTAACTGTCCTCCCTCCTCTTCTATCAATTGTCTATATGTGGTTCTAATTTTGCCCATATTTTTCTTTTTAATTGAGAGTATTTCAAATGGGGCCGCCCACCAAGGGATTTTAGGTTCCAAAAGCCTATGATGTTTCCTCTAGACTTTAATTAATGGATTCCTAATAATTCACCATTAATTCTAAAAGTTTTTTAACACTCTCTTTTCAGTCTTCCAGTGTCAGGAGTAAGTCATCTGCAAATGCATGAAGTTTATAAGATATGTACCCCAGAGCAATCCCTTTTATGCTCTCATCTAGTCTTATATCTTGATTGTTTCTAAAGTTAAAATGAACAGGAGCAGGGAGATTGGGAACCCTTGCCTTGTTCCCCTTTCAATCTTGAAGGTCTCTGACATTTCAGAATTAAGCTGATCATTAATTCTAATTAATTCTGAAGTGTGTGTTTTTCTTTTTGTAAATCTACCACAGAATAAAGTAAAATCGGGATTAAGGGGTTTTCTGAGGACTGAGGAGGGGGTGTGTGCTGTGTGCCCCATTGGTGCAGTGGTGCTGGTGGAAATGCTCTTTGGGGGTGGGGGACACAAAAAATAAGGGGGTTGAGGTGGGTCAGTTGTGGGGAGGTATCTCAGTCAGTAGGTCATGAAACTTTCAATCTCAGGGGCGCGGGTTCAAGACCCACATGGGACGAAAGATTCCTGCATTGCAGGGGGTTGAACCAGATAGCCCTTGTAGTCTCTTCCAGCTCTACATTTCTATGATTCTACCTTCTCCGTGTGAATCAGAGGCTCAGCCACTGAGCAAACAAGTTTATATGCATCTACTGGTGTCCAGATCTCATGAGCTTAGCACAGGGGTAGGCAACCTAAGGCCTGGGGGCTGGATCGCCTTCTAAATCTAGCCTGTGGACGATCCGGGAATCAGCGTGTTTTTACATGCGTAGAAGGTGTCCTTTTACTTAAAATGCATCTCTGGGTTATTTGTGGGGGCTGCCTGGTCTTTTTACATGAGTAGAATGTGTGCTTTTATTTAAAATGCACCGCTGGGTTATTTGTGGGGCATAGGAATTCGTTCATTCCCCCCCCCCCAATATATATATATAGTCCGACCCACCACATGGTCTGAGGGACGGTGGGCTGGCCCACGGCTGAAAAAGGTTGCTGACCCCTGTCTTAGATAGAAGAAAGGGTCTCTGAAACTCAGCAGAGTGCATCTCTAATAACCAGAAGGCATCCCTCCCTTTTCTAGGGTTTCCTCTGCCATATCAGCAACTTCAGGCCTTTCCAGATGCCTGGCAAAATGTGAGCTTTGTTTGCAATTCTGCAGCTTCAAATACCTTCTTGTTTAACATTCCTCACTCCAAATAAAGCTTTGTTGTAGTTCTATCTTGAGTTCTGAAGGTTTTCTCTCTGTAGAGTTGGAAGGGATCCCTAGGGTCATCTAGTCCAACCCTCTGCAATGCAGGATGGCCATCCAACCTCTGCCTAAAATCCTCCAATGAAGGAGAGTCTGTATTGTTCAACTATTGCTCAAACATGGGTTTTAAAAATGTACTCTCCTTGTATTTTTATTCCTTTCTATTCCATAAAGATAGTAGCAGTAGTTGCAATACTCAGCAGCCAGCGTTGAGCATGTCTTCCTATTTGTGGCCATGAACATGTATAAGCATGTGCATTATTCCTGGATTCAGTCATCTTTTATTTTCTAGCTCTAATCTACAGTAGCACACTAGTAATGGACAATACTACAACCAGGTGTCTGAAAAATAAGGTTTTTTTAAACAGTTTTGTTAACAAAATTAATAATAATAGAAAATTGAATATTGGAAGCATCTTAGGTTTTTGGCTTATTTGGAGGCAGCAAACATTTTGGGTTAGGCCACACCCCTCTTGGCAGCCATTTTGTGACTGGTGCCCTTGGCACCTTTTCAAAATTCAGAATGTGTCCACAGACCCAAAAAAGTTGAGAGACGCTGCCCTATGCATAGCCATTTGACACTTTGGAAGTGAGCAGTCAGGGGAGGAAGCAAAAAGGTAAATACATCAAATCCCCTCCTAGTAGATAGAACAATTAATGGAGATTTCCTGGCTGGGAACATAACAGATACATGGATATTGGAAAGCAAGTTAGCTGTGAATTAGGGCACCCACCCAACCCAACAGGCACAGCAGAGGTCTTCTGTGCTATCCCCTGCTGCATGTTTGTTGATGGTGGCAGCCCCTGGGGCCAGCCATGAACAGGTGTGGGCAGGCTGGGGCTCAAGTCAAGCACTTTCAGCAGAACTCTCTGCAGGTTAACTCGGAAAGAGGCCCCACTGTGTCCATAAGAAGAAGCTTTTGGATCAGGCCAGTAGTCCATCTAGTTCAGCATCCTGTTCTCACAGTGGCCAACCAGATGCCCACAAAGGGAAGCCCACAAACAGGACCTGAGCACAGCCACTTCCCCCTCCTGCTATTTCCAGCAACTGGTATTCAAAAGCAGTACTGCCTCTGACCATGGAAGTAGAGCACAGCCATCATGGCTAGTAGCCACCGATAGCTGTATCCTCTGGGAATTTGTCCAACCCTGTTTCAAAGCCATCTAAGGTGGCCCTCACTGACTCCTCTAGACGTGATCTCCGTATATCATGTGAAGACGTAGTTTCTTTTATCTGTCCTGAATCTCCCAACATTCTGCTTCATTCATTGGCCATGAGTTTTACTGTTAAGACAGAGGGGGAAATAACCTTTCTGTACCCATGTTCTCCATGCCATGCACAATTTTGAAACTTCAGTTGGGTTGCCATGTTAGGAAAGGGTGCACAGAGGGCAACCATACAGAACTACACTGGCTCCCCGATTTTTTTCTAGGCACAGTGTAATTTTGTGCAGAAATGCAGCCCCAATGACATTGTTGCAGAGGTAGGATGTTTCCCTCCTTTTATATTCAGGAATTATGTACTTGTGTTCATACATGGAAAGACCTTTCTATACTATGTATCATGAAAATGTGTGAATGTGCATGTCTTGTGGAGAAGGTTGCTTGTTCTTAGGATAAACGATGAAACAGGAATATAAAAGTAGGAAGTTGCACTGGCTGGCAGTAGCTCTCCAGGATTCTCAGATAGTGTTTTTTCTTTTCTTTTCTTTTCTTTTCTTTTCTTCTCTTCTTTCTTTCTTTCTTTCTTTCTTTCTCAGCCCTACATGGAGATGCCAAGGATTGAACCCAGGACTTTCTGCGTGCAAAGCAGAACTACTGAATTACATGCCTTCCCCTAAACTTGGGATGTTTGCGTGCACTGCTGCATATAACAGGCACGTGGGAGTATCCCTCTCCTTTAGAAATGTTGCCGATTGAAGCAACTAGCCTATTAGTGAAACAGGGTTGTGGAAATGAAGAGATATCGAAGCAAGCTGGGAGTCAAAACAACAGGTGCCTCAAACTTTTGAAGAACACTTAAGAGGAAAAATATTTGCTGTCCTATTAAGTGGGCTGCCAAGATTGTTAATTTGGGACCTACTTGTTAGACCTAAAAGTACATTTTATCAAGCAATTATGGTACATTTCATAAAAGAGGAACAATGTAGGATCTAAATGTATTACACTAAAGATCCAAATGGATTACCCTAGGCCAGGCCGTGCTGTGCAGCTTACAAGTTTTATACTAGCTTTATACCTTCTGCAGAGGCTTCTTGAACTTTTGCGCACTTCTTTCCAGTTTTTGATAAGGCACTTGGAAACCTTGGCACTGCGATTAAAGGGAAAGCAGCCCAGCCACTGCGTCTAAACAAAAAGAGGGGGTACAAATTGTTTTGGAGAACCAACAGTGGAAGCACGCCAAAGTTTACTGAGGGAGAAACTCTTGATACAGAAGGGGCAATGATGCTGATTCCACTGCTGCTGCAGATGGCTTATGATCGTTCATAGGCTACATTTGTCTAGGTCCACCCACATAGATAGTGAAATTGGTTGGAAGTTTCAGTAGAAAGGTCCAACCCCCTAGTCCTATCACTGGTGTGAGTAGTCTTTGGTCTACTTTTCAAAGGGTACACTTCAGTTTCTCCTGGCTTGCTCATATTGGCTTCACTATGTGTAGAATTCCTCGAGGTTTGGATGAGCGCACTGGAATTGGTAACTATGATTTTTTTTTAATTGACCTGATATACTAGGGGCTGGGTGAAATGGGGGGAGAGAGATAAGAGTTGTATTATTTACTTTGATTAATTGCTTTGGCAATGCTGCTTTTGTAGTATTGTAGAGTTGGAAGGGACCCAAGGGGTCATCTAGTGCAACCCCTTGCAATGCTTGTCCATGTGAGAAATGCAAACAGATGGATGAAGCTTTCTTCCTCTTTCCATTGCAGAAATTCAGGTGCAGCAAGCTGACCCAATTCTGGAGGTTAGTATCTGTGGGAGCAGGAGTGAAGACCAAGTACAAGGTCCCTTGGCACAGAAGGTTCCCTTGCCTCTGCTCCCCCCAATCTCAGGAAAATGCCCATTTTAGGTTTTTGTCCCCTGGAGCACCCCCTTTTGCCCCCATGGCTTTCACAGTTCTGTAGTCTAGGAAAGTCCTTTCCTGATTGAAAGCCTGACGTTCTCCACTTCCAGGGTCTTTCTGGGGATGATCTTTTCCTCTTCTGTGTGGGCTTCACCTGTGAAAAAGCCTATAATGAGGGTGAGGACAGCGTGGAGTATAATAAAGATGCTGTGTCCATGGTCATAATGGTGAGTGAGGTTCAGGATGAAAAATCCAGTGGGGAGGTGGGCAGAAGGGGTGGGGTTTGGGAAACACTCTGTGCAAGGGAAGTTTGTGGCTCTTGCAAAGAAGAGGAATTTGCAGGTATTTGGGCTAGGCATTCCAACTGCAACCAAAGTCAACCCCTGAGTCTCGGGCTGGAGCAGCCCCCCTGAATTCCATGGGGAACTGACTTTGCTTTTCTGCTGTTTGAACTCTTCTCAGGACATCATGGGGAGATGGACCCAGTTTCCAAATCCCGTGAGAATACTGAAGAGGGGAATGGAAGATATCATCCGCCTCACGTATGTTGTTGGCACTGTTTGTTTGTTTGTGTGTGTCTATTCATGGTAATTGGATATTAGAAGTGGTGAGACAGAGAAAGAGAGAGAGATGCTTGAGGAAAGGGCAGCCAGCAGTTGGCAGTATGGTGCTATGGAAGTTTCTTTTTTTGAAAAAGAAAGAAGTCTTGATTGATGACTTTTATGCTTCCAGGGCTAGGTGTATCCCCCCCACCCCATCTCATCCCTTCCTTGAAGGAAGCTGGAACTTGATGGGTCAATAGGGAGCTGTCTGGCATGGAGGGGCTATTTACTCAGTGGGTCATGGAAGCTTTGAATGTATAGACTCCATAGGTCTCAAATTGTGGGGCTCTGTCTCAAGAGCCCTGATCCAGTGGGGTCAGTCTGCGTGTCAGGCATGGTCCTGATTCTGGAACCTGGCTTGGTGTCTGCTCCCTCTGCCTCCAGTGCTAATAACCTGGGGGAAGCCAGTTGACCCCTCCTGGACTTAGTTTGAGACACAGCCCAGACTTCTGCTGGGCGATGGTGGAGGGGGGGGGCAACATTTCAGAAGAAAAAGATATAAGAAGGGCATGAGAGGGGCTTAAGGCTCGCAACACCCCTGGAAACCACCCACAGGTCTTTGGAAAACTCATCATGTTGTTTCTTGCTTCATCTTGACAGTTTCATGAAACCTCCATTTATGCAGAGTAAGAAATCGGCCATCATCCATGGGACGCTTTTTCCAATTGCTCACACTTATGGACTGAATAATGCTGAAAAGGAGGTAAAGTCTTTGTAGCTTTGATCGTTACTCTTGAGTTTTGACTTCTACTGGTTCAATTTATCTCCTGAAAGTTTTGCACCATCTTTTCATTTCTTACTATTTTTTTTAGTGAGAGAGTAAGCTTAGTTGCACAAACAATGTTTTTGGTTTCACTGGTTTCCAGCTATTACACACAAAGATTTTTTAAACATCATCTCCAATCAGAAAGTGCATTTTGCCTCATTTTGTCAGTGAGCGAAAACTTAGTCTCATTTGAAGCTGGCATTTGTCTCTCTTCTGCCAGTTTGCTTTAGTACCACCCTTATCCAATGCTAAAAATCTGTTAACTATTCTCACCCCCATGTCTTTCCACATCATGTCCTCCTGTGAATCTGTGAATCCACCTCTGTGAAAATGGTTTTCACCACCAGGCTCTCAAGCAGCTGCTTCATGCAACTGTGAGGCGCCTGCTGACTGAGGACCCAACCGCTCAGTGCCTAAGAACCCTCTTGGAAGTAAGTGTGTTGGTGGGACGAGGGTATTGATTCATTTCAGCAGAGCCTGCTGGCATAAAAGCTTGATCAGGCAGCATCACAAACCCAGAACATGGGTGTCTCCTTACACGCTGGGGAAGGGCAGGCCACTCAGACAGGGGCCCACCCTTGTCAAGGCCCTTTCTTCAGTCTCCACCTGGGTGCAGCAGTTGTGGGGGGGGGGCAAAGCAAATTTGGGGCTGGGTAACTTGGGAGAAAGTAGTTCTTTTTTGCTGTTTGGAACAATGAGCAAAGAATCACCCTCAGATAGTGGGGGAGACTTCTCGGTGGAAGCGGTAGCTTGCCTCTCTAGCCGAAACCAGCCCCTAAACTAAGGTCCTTTTTCCTCCCACAGGCACTGGCTTATTATTTCACTATGGGGAACGAAGCAGAAAGGGATATGGCTACCAGCAGCACCCATGTTTTGCTGGAACATGCACTGAGATCCATTAACCTGACTGTAAGTACTCTATTTTATGGCCCAGAGAGGTTTCTCAAGGTGGCTTACTGAAATATACTCAGAGTCCTACAGTGATTTCATGCTCTTTATTGCAGCTTGTAAAACAGTGATTGATTTCTGCCCCAAACCTCAGGATTTTATATACATTATTTACACAATGAGTCCCGTCTGACTAGCTGATTCTGCTTCCCTCCTGGAGCCTGATTGGTCTTTTCCTGCAAGCCAATCAGTTGTTGCATTCTAGGATCCTACTTGCCTATTGTTCTATGATCCAAGCTTAGCACAGTGGTACCTCGGGTTGCATACACTTCAGGTTACATACACTGCAGGTTACAGACTCCGCTAACCCAGAAATAGTACCTCGGGTTAAGAACTTGGCTTCAGGATGAGAACAGAAATTGTGTTGCGGCGGCGCGGCGGCAACAGGAGGCCCCATTAGCTAAAGTGGTGCTTCAGGTTAAGAACAGTTTCAGGTTAAGAACGGACCTCCGGAACAAATTAAGTACTTAACCCGAGGTACCACTGTACATAACACTTACAAAAGACTCTCAATGAAAGTGATATCCAAGCTTGGTGTCAGACAGAGAAATAATGTGGTCTCCCAGTATGTCCAGGATTATTCAGGTGGTATTTTGTGCTCTTCTTTGGTGTTGCCCTTTGGCCTCCGCCTACTAGGCAGCAGAGCCCACAGAGGTCCTAGGAGGCAAGGGAGTGAGGTAAAAAAAGGACCTGATTCAGACTTTTCTTGATTTTACAGGCTGAGGTCATAAACAGCGCTCTTCCCCAGCAGTTCTCTGCACTGTTCCAAAACATCAGAGAAGGCAAGTTGTCCATTCTGCAAGCACAGAACAAACCCACAGGACTCACTCTCCACCCCAAAGCCATCCTTGGCAGCCTAACTGGGGTCTGAGGAGAGCTCACTTCTTTGCTGTAACACACCTGGTTGCTGTAACACAGCTCAGTTTGAAATCCCAGCCCTGCCTCAAAGCCCCCAAGCAAGGTGGAGAGTGAACAGTTGTTCCCAGATGCCATGGGGATGCTGGCTCCAAGTGGTGGACCCCCAATGGTCTGGCAATGGGGATGGGGATGTTGGGGGTGGGTAGCAGCCCCACTGGGCTTTGCCAGGGCATGGGAGGGGGCATGAGCTGCCTAAGAATGCCCAGTGATGGGTCTGGGTCTGGTTGTAAGGAAGACTCACTTCACTTCACTTCTTTTCTCTTCCATCCAGCGGACATCCAGCCTGCAGTTGTGGATGTGTTCCCAGTACTGACTTACGAAGAATGAATCCTCTTCATAAACCAGATTGATGTGTGTGGTCAGAGATAAAGGAGGGATCATTGCCTGGTGTTATAATAATAATAAAAATAATAAATTTTATTTATATCCCGCCCTCCCCAGCCGAAGCTGGGCTCAGGGCAGCTAACAACAATAAAACTGTACAACAGTATCTGGTGGATTTTCCCATTTTAAATAAAAAACCAATTTTGTTCTGAGCTTACATTTGTCTTTGTGATTTCTGTTCCATCACTTTACTTGCACCCCTGTGCTGTGGTTTGGAGGTTTCTTTCTGGGGGTGGGGAGGAAAGAGACATGGCTGGCAACTTCTGAGGGCGATTTAGATCAAGTAAAAGGCCATTCAAGATGCCTCCCCAGTTGCTGCTTTGATTTTACTTTTTTAAAAGAAATTCTGGAGCATCCATATCATCATGTGTGCCTACTTGAATAAGAGATTGTCTTTCCCAGGCTTCCTCAACCTTGGCCTTCCAGATGTTTTTGGCCTACAACTCCCATGATCCCTAGCTAGCAGGACTAGTGGTCAGGGATTATGGGAATCGTAGTCTCAAAACATCTGGAGGGCTGAGGCTGAGGAAGCCTGGTCTTTCCTCTCCGTGTGAGCAGCAGAACACTGTTCCACAGTGATGCCACCTGGACAGGAGTTGGGGAAGCAGAACAGTCAGGAGGGCAGGTGGCAGAGCATGTTGCGAAGCTTTGATGGGAAGAATCTGCCCTTTTTAAAGTCAGCAGGTGCAGACTTCCTCATCAGTACTTCTCTGGACTTGGGGGGAAAAGATGCAGCCATGAAAAGCTGCATAACAGGCAGGAGTATAGCAGGTGAAGGGTTTTTCTTGAGAGGAGTGGTGAGAAGGCCTGGCCTGTTACGTGGCTCTGAAGGTACAACAGCCCTGCCAAGGAAATGATGTATGGTAACATTAGATGCTAATCAATAATATTAGGGAGCACTCAAACGGTTTATATTTTGACAAGGTTGCCTAAAATATGTGCCTGTGGCCTGTGAGAGAGAGAGAGGTGAGAGAGAGGAAGGGCTGGGTGAGGGAAAAGGCAGGCAGGCACACAGGAAGATCCAAGGACCTGTTCTGTTGTCCCTTCTGGAACTTGCTCTGCTGGGAAGAATTCCTGGCATTAATATGGTATGATTTTATTACTTATGTACATAATATTGTAGCTCCTGCAGCTTTCAGATAGATGTGATTAATCTTTTAGAATACTATCTGTATACTTTATCATCATCATCTATTATCATTATTCTGCAGTCAAATTTTAATTCACTGAGCATCCACAAGTATATAAGAGGCTTATCCACACTTGCTCTTGTCCTGCTGCTTTTCCCTGTGGAAAACTACTCTTTAGTGCTTGTCAGGGAACTGCCATCGGAAGGAAGGGAGGTGAAAGGACTCAGACAGGTTGGAAGAGATTCAGCAGCTGAAGAGGGAACCAGCAAGGGGAGAGAAGCTGAACTGAGGGAGGTGAAAGGGCTCAGACAGGTTGGAAGAGACTCAGCAGCGGAAGAGGAAACCAGCAGGGGGAGACAAGCTGAACTGAGGGAAAGGGAGCTGGGGGGATGGCTCAGAGATACTTCCAGCGAAAACAGTGGTGAGGTTTCCGGACCTCCTGTAGCGACACCCACTCCTCGCCGGAAACTGTCACGCAGAGAGTCCAGAAGACGTGTTTCCGTTAAGGAGCTTTTATGTTGGAAGCGATTACGAAAGCAACCACTGTCGGAATCTTCTAGTGACTAAGAGGAGCCATGTCAGAGGGGCTCAGTCACAGACAGAGGTTTGTGGACTTGAACAAACTCTGAGGGAATACGATTTTACGCACAAGCAGCTCATAATCCCATCACAGCATTCCGACAGTCTTTGAACGCAGCTTGTGCAGGAGACGGCATAATAATGAGCAACCCAGCAGGAACCGGAGAAGCAGGGGCTGGAGCGGGTCCAAGCCTGGAAGAAAGGTACCGGGTGTTAGAGGTCCAGCTGGCGCTGCAGACGGCGAGGCTGGAGGAGAGGAGGGCTCAAGATGCAGACAAAGGGGAGAAAGCCACCCAGCTCGCCAGAAAGGTACCAGGATTGGTGCAAAATTTGGGGGGGAGCCCAAAGACTATCATAGCTTTCGGACAGAAATGCAATATGCCCTCAATCTGCAGTTTGATGATTTCCCTGATGAGGAATCACGAGTGGCTTTTGTGATTGGGCATCTTGAAAAGGGGGCGAGAGACTGGGTTAGACCCCTGATGGCAGCGAATAGTGACGTCTTAAAAGACACGATGAAGTTCTTTCGCGCCATGGATCTGATGTTTTCCAGCGATATTGAAAAGGGAGTGGTGCGCAGACAGTTAATGGCTTGCAAACAGGGGAGCCGATCTGTACGTGAGTACTGGACTGAATTCACCATGCTGATACACAGATTGGGGTGGGACTTATCGGCGGAACCCATTCAAATGCTCTTTGAAGAAGGGCTTTCTTCGGCTGTGAAAGATGAACTTTCCCGGGCGCCCAGGGCGGAGTCTATGGACCAGCTGACCAAATCAGCGCTGGCCATAGGAGCGCGCCAGGAGGCGAGAGCATTGGAGAGGCGGGAGGGAAAGGGGAACGTTGGAAGGAGTTCCGCATTCCAGACATTCCAGAGCCAACTGTCCCGCCGGCAGAGCCGATGGAAATCGGAACAGCGCGCGCGCGCAGTTTCAAAGCCCAGTGAGGGGGGACAGAAGGATGGAAAAGGCGCCCGGAAATGCTATCTCTGCCAACAGCCAGGGCACTTTGCCAGAGTCTGCCCCCAGAGGAAGGAATGGCAAGGGATGGTGGGAGCTGTGGAGGGAAGAGAGGAAACCATACCGGAGCAACTAAAAGCCAACGCCTGGCTGCCATTGTCGGGGCACAGCAGCCAGGCCAAAGAGCAGTGAAAGTGCCCACTCCAGAACCTCCTAAACCCGCCCTAGTGATAGAAGTGACACTAGAGCTCCCAAACGGACACCCTCTAAAGATAAAGGCGCTGTTGGACTCAGGCAGCTCCTGCAATTTCATGAGCAAAGAGTTTGCAGCTGAACACCAGATACAGACGCTCCCTTTAAGCAACCCCCTGCAGGTAACCACGATCGATGGCAGGGAGCTGTTGGGAGGAGAAGTCAGCTTGCAGACCGTCCCAATGATAATGAAGGTGGCAAGGCACACTGAACTGATAGCTTTTAATGTGGCCACCTTGGGAGGAGCTCCCATTATATTGGGGATGAGCTGGCTAGCGTTACATGATCCGCTGGTGGGCTGGCATCAGAGAGTGGTTTCTTTTGGGTCAGCACATTGCTTAGAACATTGCAAAGAGGGAAAGGTTTTGGCAGGGGCCCAAGCCACCCTAGCAGGGACTGAAGTGAAGGAGAACGTGAAGGTACCACGACAATACGCAGATCTCCGCGACGTCTTCAGCGAAAGGGAAGCTGACCAACTACCACCGCATAGAGCCTTTGACTGTCAAATCAATTTGCTCCCTGGGGCACAGCTCCCTGTGGGCAAGCTGTACGCCATGTCAGACAGAGAGATGCAGGAGCTAAGAGAGTTCATTGACAAGAACCTGAAGAGAGGGTTCATCAGAGAGTCCAGGGCGGTGGGGGCAGCCCAGTGTTTTTGTGGACAAAAAACACGAACAAGCCGAGACTGGTGTGTGACTTCAGGGCCTTAAATGCAGTGTCAGAACCAGTGGCCTTCCCGATGCCCAGGATTGACGACATTTTGACAAGGGTGCGAAAGGGAAAGATTTTCACCAAGCTGGATCTAAGGGGGCGTACAACCTGATACGAATAAGGAAGGGGGATGAATGGAAAACCACCATGTTCACCCCTTTAGGGGCATTTGAATACTTAGTTATGCCCTTCGGTCTACAAGCAGGCTCCGCAACATTTCAATCGTTTATGAACCACGTCCTGGGGCCGTTGCTTTACAAGAATTGTGTGGCCTTCTTAGACGACGTGTTGGTGTATTCTGAGAATGAGGAGCAGCATGTGAGAGACGTCAGAGAAGTGTTGAGCAGGCTGCAAGCCAACCAGCTGTGGGTGAAACTGGAGAAGTGTCAGTTTCATACCAAGGAGGTGGAATTCCTGGGGTATCGCCTGTCTGACAAGGGGTTGGCCATGGATCCCGGCAAGGTCCAGGCGGTACTGGAATGGAAAACACCCAAAACAAGGAAGGATGTGCAGAGGTTTTTAGGGTTTGGGAACTTCTATCGTAAGTTCATCCCAAACTTTGCCCACCTGACGGCGCCCATTACGGACTGTCTCAGCAGTAAGAAGAAGTTCGTTTGGACGGAGGAGGCGGAGCAAGCATTTGAGGAACTAAAAGGGCCTTCGCCTCGGAACAACAGCTCCTGCATGTGGATTTACAAAAACCGATGAGAGTGGAAACTGACGCATCAGACAGAGCGGTTGGGGCGGTGCTTCTCCAGCCAGGGAAGGAGGAGTCAGAGTGGAGACCGTGTGCTTTTTTTCCGCGAAAGCTGAACAAATCCGAGAGGAACTACACGGTGTATGACCGAGAACTACTAGCCATTCATGAGGCGTTCCGGAGATGGAGGCACCTGCTAATTGGCGCACAACATAAGGTGCAAGTGTGCACTGACCACAAGAACCTAGAGTATTGGAGGACGGCACGAGTGCTCAACCAACGGCAAGTGAGATGGGCCCAGGAATTCTCCAAATTTAACTTTGAGATTTGTTACGTGCCAGGCCCAGAGAACATTAGGGCGGACGCTCTCTCACGCAAACCTGAATATTGGGAGGGGAGGGAGCACCCGAAGAGAGACATGTCATTCCAGAGGACCGCTGGGTGTGTGGGGCGGCATTGGTGGGACAAAGAGAACTGGTAGAAGAAACAGAGAATGATGAATACGCCCAGAATAAGCTCAGAGGTCTTAGGGATGAGGGAGAGGAATCAAGGGGTTTCGAGGAAAGAAATGGAGCTTTGTATTACAAAGGGGCACTGTATATCCCTGAAGGAGACTTAAGGGGAGGGTACTCAAGCAGTTGCATGACAGCCCCACGGCGGGGCATTTTGGGCAACACAAAACCATGTGGTTGGTCACCAGGGAATTTTGGTGGCCTAAGGTGAGGGAGGATGTACGTGAGTATGTAAGAGGGTGCGAGCAGTGCCAGCGAGCCAAAGGGGAAAGGCGGGCGCCGGCGGGGCTATTAGAACCCTTACCAACACCAGAACGACCTTGGGAGGCAGTGTCGATAGATTTTATGACTGATCTGCCGAAGTCCAAAGGGAAAACAGCCATCATGGTGGTGGTAGACCTACTAACAAAGATGTGCCACTTTGTAGCTTGCTCGCATGCAGTCACGGCGGAAGAGACAGCGAAGTTATTTGTAGAACACATTTTTAGGTTGCACGGGGTGCCATTGAGGGTGGTCTCAGACCGAGGAAAACAATTTACTTCCAGGTTCTGGAGGAAGCTCATGAGCTTACTGCAGGTGGAGGTCAACTTTTCGACTGCCCGGCACCCTGAAACCAACGGGCAGGCGGAAAGAGCAAACGGTGTCCTCCAGCAATACCTGAGGTGTTATGTCAATGACAGAGAGAATGACTGGGTAGAAAAGTTGGCGCTGGCGGAATTTGCCTACAACAATGCCGAGAATGTGTCCACAGGGATGAGCCCCTTCTTGGCTAATTATGGGTGTCATCCCAGGGCTTTCCCAGGGGGAGAAGGGGAGAGATGGAGCGTACCGGCAGCTGAGCATTTTGTAGAAGAAATGGAAGCAATCCACCGTCAGCTCCAACTCAACTTAGAAAGGGCGAAGGAAGAATACAAGAGGCAGGCAGACAAGAACCGAAGGGAAGGTGAAACCATAAGGGTTGGAGATAGGGTGTGGCTGTCAACCCGAGGGTTGCCGTTCAAAGGAGGTTGTAAGAAATTACGACCCAGGAGGTTGGGTCCCTTTGAGGTCATTCAACAGGTCAACCCAGTGGCTTTCAGGCTCCTGTTACCCAACCACATGAAACTGCACCCAGTATTTCACAGGTCGTTACTGTCACCGTACGAGGGGGGACGAGAAGGGATGGACACTCGGGACCGGTCATAGAAGAAAGAGAATGCAGCAGTCATGTGGCAGAAATCCTTGATGCCAGGTGGAAGGGGAATCAGGTGGAGTATTTGGTAGCGTGGGAAGGAGAACCGGAGTCAGAAAACACGTGGGTAATGGCCAAAGATATCAATGACGAGGTATTGATAGAAATGTTCCATCAAAGGTTCCCGCGGAAACCTCAGCCTGTGGAGAGGTTCCGGAGGGAATACTTTGGGACCACTGAGGAGGAGGAGGAGTTGGAAGGATTCCCAGAATCGGAAGGGGAAGGGGAGATGGACTCGGAGGAGGAGGAGTGCTTCGAGACCAGGAACCGCAACAGGTGGAGAGAAGTGTTCGAGACATCGGAAGATGAAGGAAGTTCATTCCGGGTTTTGCCTCCTCACCGCCCGTAGAGGAGGGGGCGAGAGGGGGTGAAGGGGGCCCTGGAGGGGAGGTGGATGTCAGGGAACTGCCATCGGAAGGAAGGGAGGTGAAAGGACTCAGACAGGTTGGAAGAGATTCAGCAGCTGAAGAGGGAACCAGCAAGCGGAGACAAGCTGAACTGAGGGCGGTGAAAGGGCTCAGACAGGTTGGCAGAGACCCAGCAGCGGACGAGGAAACCAGCCGGGGGGAGACAAGCTGAACTGAGGGAAAGGGAGCTGGGGGGGATGGCTCAGAGATACTTCCAGCGAAAACAGTGGTGAGGTTTCCGGACCTCCTGTAGCGACACCCACTCCTCGCCGGAAACTGTCACGCAGAGAGTCCAGAAGACGTGTTTCCGTTAAGGAGCTTTTATGTTGGAAGCGATTACGAAAGCAACCACTGTCGGAATCTTCTAGTGACTAAGAGGAGCCATGTCAGAGGGGCTCAGTCACAGACAGAGGTTTGTGGACTTGAACAAACTCTGAGGGAATACGATTTTACGCACAAGCAGCTCATAATCCCATCACAGTGCTCAATTGGGGAAAACAGCAATACTGGTTTTCCCTGGATTGCCTTTTTTTCCAATCTATCGCTAAAAAAATTAGTTTTCCCTTGGAAAAGGAGCAGGCCAAGGGGGAAACTACATGGACCTGTGCTTTCTAGGCACAGCACAAGCAGACATGTGGATAAGGAATGAAGTGGGGGAAGGGAGAGTAAGGGCTTACCCACACTTAAGTTTCTTCCTATCTTTCCAGGCATGGTCTGCATGTTCTAGCATGTCATTTTTATTTATTTCTTTTTGCTCTGGAGCTTTCTCTGTGAAAACCTACACTTTAAACTTCAATCTGAGCACATGTCAATCCACAGAAAACCCGAAGTGTCATTTGCTTTAATTCAGCTTTAAAGAGCAGATATTCATGGGGAAAGCTTGGTGCAAAAAGCCCACTCAGATACAGAGCATTAAAGCATGAACCTCTGTAAAAAAAGTGGGGGTAGATATTGTTGGTTACAAGTTTAATGTTTTTGGTGCAGATTGTCCCTTTGGAGCACCAGGAGGATTCCTTTACCAAAGGAGTTTATCAACACACACACACACACACACACACACACACACACATACACACACCTCATTTCCATTCTAATCATTGGGCCTTGAGGAATGGCCATAGGAAGCCCCCTCTGGCTTCAGCATTGAGGTCTGCGAGTGCTATGGGGCCCTAGTGAAAGTAGCCTCTCCTTTGTTTCCTGGGTGGGCAAAATAAATGTGCATCTGTAAATATTTTTATATTTGTGGTAATCAATCAGAGGATAATTTTATTGTTGTTAAAGATAGAATTCTGCATTTTGCCAGGGAGATTTAGAACTTCAAGCTTCTTTTATTCTTTTATCCATTTTGCTTTTACTTCACTTTGTTCGGATTCTGATACTTTTCATTTCAGTTTAATATTTGTTAAAAGACGGACAATATATATATATATTTTATAAGATATTTATTGAGATTTTCAAAATGTTACAAAATAAAAATAAAAAAGAAGAAAATACAAAATAAAATTGGTTAAAAACAACTCAATCTTTCCATTACTTATTTTTCATTAACTTGTTTCCCGGACCTCCTCACGCCTCCCTTTTTTGTATTCCAGTTCGGTTTGTTGGTTCAGCAAAGCCTTACCCTCTTTGTTTATCCTAGTCTTTAATCTTAAAATATTGTAACGTTAAATTTTTACCTATTAATAATCCATTTTCCATATTCCCTTAGAGTATTACAGCTGAAAACCACTTAATTTCTATCCAACATCATTCTAACATTCATTAATTTTGCAATATTTCTGTAGATAGTCTTTGAATTTCTTCCAATCTTCTTCCACTGACTCTTCTCCCTGGTCTCGGATTCTGCCAGTCTTTTCCGCCAGTTCCATATAGTCCATCACCTTCATCTGCCATTCTTCCAGAGTGGGTAGATCTTGTGTCTTCCAATACTTTGCAATGAGTATCCTTGCTGCTGTTGTGGCATACATAAAAAAGTTCTATCCTTCTTTGGCACCAATTGGCCGACTATGCCTAGGAGAAAGGCCTCTGGTTTCTTCAAGAAGGTATATTTAAATACCTTTTTCAATTCGTTATAAATCATCTCCCAGAAGGCCTTAATCCTTGGGCACGTCCACCAAAGGTGAAAGAATGTACCTTCAGTTTCTTTACATTTCCAGCATTTATTATCGGGCAAATGATAGATTTTTGCGAGCTTGACTGGGGTCATGTACCACCTGTATATCATTTTCATAATATTCTCTCTTGAGGCATTGCATGACGTAAACTTCATACCTGTGGTCCATAACTGTTCCCAGTCAGCCATCATTATGTTATGTCCAACATCTTGTGCCCATTTAATCATAGCAGATTTCACCGTTTCAACCTGAGTATTCCATTTCAACAGCAAGTTATACATCTTTGACAAAATCTTAGTTTTGGGTTCTAACAGTTCTGTTTCTAATTTTGATTTTTCCACCTGGAAACCAATTTTCTTGTGCAAATTATATGCCTCCATTATCTGATAATAATGAAGCCAGTCTCGCACTTTGTTTTTTTAATTTCTCAAAACTCTGCAATTTCAGTCTATCTCCATCTTGTTCCAAAATTTCCCAATATTTTGGCCATTTGACCTCCATATTGAGCTTTTTCAGAGCTTTCGCTTCCATCGGTGACAGCCACCTTGGGGTTTTATTTTCCAATAAGTCCTTGTATCTTATCCAAACATTATCAGGGGCTGCACACCCACAAGTTAAACCAAAAGTAATGTCTTCTGAAGATGTTTTGGCTCTGGCACTAGGAAAAATTAATGAATCTTTGGAAAATTTAACTAAACAAGTAGCTGAAACAAATAAACAAGTAGCCGAAGAATCAGTTAAAATTGACCAAAATACTACAAGTATTAATAATTTGGGACAGAAGGTGAATACCAATACAGAGACTATTGAGAAATTGTTACAGGAATCTGCTTTGACCCGAAAGACAGCCGAAGAAGCAAAAGACATAGCAACTGCTACTCAAGAGAAGATACCACCGATATATAGGCAACTCGAGGACCACGGTTTGACGTTGTCTATGATTGAATAGAAGGAGAAACAAAGAAATTTGAGAATCAGGGCTGTACCAGAACTTGAGAAAGATAACTTGACTGACTTTCTTACGCAGGAATTTGCAGACTTCTGGCAACAGGATTTGGGGAAGGAAGAATTTAAGACAGTGAGCGCATTTAGACTTGGAAGAGGAGGAAGGAAGAACAAGGTGAGAGACTGTTTGATTACCCTTCGAACAAAAGAGGAGAGAGACAAAATCTTGAATCTGCATTACCAAAAGACTCTGGAAATATATGAGTCAAGTGTGGAGATATTTAAGGACATTCCAAAACATCTTTTGGACTTAAGGCTTAATTACGGAGATCTGGTTGCCCTGCTGAGAAGTAATAGAATCATCTTTTGGTGGGAATTCCCTCAAGGCCTGTCCTTTAAATATAAAGGAAGAAAGATAAAAATAAGATCAGTCAATGACAAAGATATTGAAAGACCATGGAAAAGATCTACAGAAAGAAGTGGAATCTGGAGAAGAGCCAAAAGCACCGGAAAGAGGAATACTAGATATAGCAAACTTATCTTTTGGATTGCATGGTTCAGAGAAAGTGACACCACCGACAGAACAAGAACAAACACTTGGCGCAGTCGGAGGTAAAGTGAAGTAACCCCATCATGGCTCTGCAACTATTAAGTTGGAATTGTAATGGCCTCAACTCTCCTCGGAAAAGGAAAAGTGTTTTTCATTTACTAAAAAAGGAACAATTGGACTTGATTTGCCTACAGGAAACACACGTGATAAGGCTACACAGGAAAGTATTGATTAACAAGAGATTGGGACAGGAGTTTATTTCATCTGATAAAGTTAAAAAAAGAGGAGTAGTGATTTATGCAAAGGAGAGACTATCACTGAAATTCATTTTTAAAGACGATCAAGGAAGATTTGTGGCAATTGAAATTCAAGTTCAAGGAGAGAAATTTTTGATAGTAGGAATTTATGCACCGAATGAGGGGAAATCTGAATTCTTTAAAAAGTTGCATGAGATCTTAATGGACTATTTGGATTACAATCTGATTTTGATGGGGGATATGAATGGAGTAGTATCTACAAATATGGATAAGGCACAAAGACAAGTGGTCACCAAGGATAGTAGACTACCGAAAACATTTTTCGAGATGACAGACAATTTGGACTTAGTTGATACTTGGAGAACAAAGAATCCCTTGGGAAGAGAGGGAACCTTCTTTTCTGAAGCCAAGATGACATGGACTAGAATTGACCAAATATGGGTAACTAGAGGAATGGCACCAAAGATGGCTCCATCCTTACAGCATTATGGTCGGAGCAAGTTTTTGGACAAATTTCCACTTTGTTTAATTTGAAATTTGTCCAAAAACTTGCTCCGACCATAATGCTGTAAGGATGGAGATGAAACTAATATCAACTGGCTCCTTCAGATGAAGGATGAATGACACCTTATTCAGAGATGAAGAAATGTATAAAAAGGCCCAAAAAACCTTGAGAGACTATTTTGAGATAAATATGAATACTAATATAGAAAAAAGAGTAATCTGGGATGCAAGCAAAGCAGTCATGAGAGGGTTTCTGATACAACAAAATGCTATAAAGAAGAGAAGCCAAAATGAGAAGAAAGATAAAATTTTGGGGAAAATAAAAGAAAGTGAGAAGAAATTGAGAGTAAAACCAAAGTCGCAGGAGATTTTGAGAGAAATAAAGTTATATCAAGTACAATATAAGGAAATGATGAATCAGGAAATAGAATGGAAAATTAAACAAATGAGACAAAAAACATTTGAATCAGCTAATAAATGTGGGAAATTGCTGGCTTGGCAAATGAAAAAAGACAAAAATTAAAGACTATCATAAATTTAGAAGTGGAAGGAAAGAACATACACAACCCAACTGAGATTAGAAACTGTTTCCAGAGGTACTTTAAACAATTATACACACAAGGGCCACAGAAAGAAATGGACATAGATCGATTTCTGAAGACAAACGGATTACAAAAAATCTCTCAAGAAAGTAAATTAATGTTGAATTATAAAATATCTGAACAGGAAGTAGAAGGTGCCATTCAAAATATGCAATTAGGCAAATCTCCAGGACCGGATGGGCTGACTTCTAGATACTATAGATCCTTGAAAGAGTGGTTAGTACAACCTTTAAAGGAAGTCTGCAATGAAATATTGGAAGGGAAAAGGGCACCAGAGTCGTGGAAAGAAGCGTATATTACACTTATACCAAAAACAGAGACTGAAAAGACTCAGCTTAAGAACTACTGCCCCATATCATTACTTAATGTGGATTACAAAATTTTTGCAGACATTTTGGCCAAGTGAAAAAAGTGTTGATGGAAGAGATTCATAAAGACCAAGCGGGCTTTCTCCCGGGAAGACACTTGTCTGACAATTTGAGGAATATAATTGATATTTTGGAAAAACTAGAAGTGAACATAAATACTAAAGCAGTTTTGATATTTGTGGACGCGGAGAAAGCTTTTGATAATATCTCTTGGAGTTTTATGAAGAAGAACCTACAGGGGATGGGGGTAGGCCAAGGTTTGGAAAACGGTATAAGTGCAATTTATTCAGAACAAAAGGCTAAACTAATTGTAAATAATGTGGTGACGGAAGAATTTAAGATAGAAAAAGGGACACGACAAGGTTGCCCAATTTCCCCATTGCTTTTTATATCGGTCCTGGAGATTTTGCTGAATATGATTAGAAGGGACCAGTTGGTTAAAGGTATACAAGTTGGAGCCAAACAGTACAAATTGAGAGCATTTGCAGATGACTTAGTATTGACGTTACAGGAGCCAGAATCTAGTACCAAGACGGACAATATTTCCTTTTCACCTGACATTTTGTGAAAATTCAGGGTCTCAAGTTTGTGTTGTAGTTTATCAAGTCTGAGTTAACTTCCACTTCTGTAATACACATTTAAAGCTCTGGGATACCATTTTAAACAGTTGTGGCTGCCCCAAAACATCCTTGAAACTGTAGTTTATTAAGGCTGATGTGAGAATTATTAGGAGACTCCTATTCTTTTCACAGAGTTACAATTTCCAGAGTTCCCTGGAAAGTGGGAAGAAGAATGGATTGGTAAATAACTAGTTCTAGAGAAAGTTACTTTGTGAAGAGGATAAGGGGTTTCCTAACAACTCTCAGGACCCTTAACAAACTACAGTTCCCAGTATATGAGCCACTCCTAGGTACCTTCAGCGTCCCCAATAAAATATTTGAGAGAGCAGGACCACCTCAAAGTTGATGGGCATCACCATTCAAATGGGGTGTGTGTGTGTGTGGTGTCATGTGATTTATTATGTGGGGTGGGGCTTACCTGCTCCCCCTCCCCAATATTTTATTCAAGTTGGCACCTCTGGTACCCAGGATACTTTGGGGGGCAGCCATCACTGTTTAAAATGGTCTGAGCAATTGCCTTGATACTGGCAATTTTTCCTAACGTGTGTGTTTTTGGATTTAGGTAACAGGGATAAAAGTAAGGCTCTGAGATAATGATGGGAGTTTAAGAACACAATAGGAGACCACCGAACCCAAGAGTCCAGGGTTCAAATCCCGACTCAGCCATAAAGCTCACAGGATGACTTTTGGCCAGGTCTTCGGCTCTCGGCCTCCTTTACCTCACAGAGTTATTGTGAGTACCACCATGTGTACCCCCTTGAGTTCCTTGGAGGAAAGATGGGGCTTCTATGTAATGAAAAATACAACACCAAAAAAGACCCCCTTGGAGCACAAAAAAAATTTTTTTTAAAGATGCATGGAGGTGGTGAATGTAGGTGAGCACCCAGGTGAAGAGAAAATGTGCATCCATCATACAAGGAAGCCCACGCATTAAAATGAAAAGGAAAGAACATTACAACTACTGGAATTTATAATACACAATGGCAAATGAGGAGTCACCAAGTAGCCAGCCCTACAGGTGTGTTCCAAGTTGGTGCCATAAACTGAATCCCAGTTGCATCCTACCTTATTTCCTTCCGTGCCTCTGAGGGATGCAAGATTGGATAGGGGGAGGACTATGGGGGAGCCTAGATCCTGCTGCCTTGATTTCTCTGTGAGAAAGAAATGAATGGGTGGGCCAGGGATTGTGCAGCTGCTTGAAGGTGACCCTGGCAGAGAGAGCTGGCCTGGAGCCCAGAGGCCATTGGGCCAGTCCTTGGCCAGGCTCCGACCACACAATTTGCTGTGGAATCCTGTGAAATGTTTCCTTTCCCATCAGACCAGTTCAATTAACCATCTCCTTCAGAGGACTTCCTTTGATCCGCAAAGGTCAGAAAATATTGCTATCTCTTTTGGCTCAGTTTAAAATCTGGAAGGTATTCTGCCTCCCCTATTTCACAGGGGGGGTGTTTTGCCAGATGCTGCTGAAAATAAAGTTAGGGAAGAGCAGTACTTTTTTCCTTTAAAAATGTTTAGGGGTACTCTCATTTTCCTGCTTGTATTGAAATACTGCCCCTCAATGAGGCCAAACTTAGATTCACAAATGGTTAGGGGTATGTGTGTACCCCTGCATCCCCCCCCAAGAAAAAAAGCCCTGGGGAAGAGAGAGGAGACATCCTTAAGCCTTGTGTCCCGTTCCCCTCCCCAACCTTCCAGCCAGTTTTTAAATATGCTCCTTGGTTATTTGACCCTTCTAAATCCCATGTTAGCTGTTATGTGAGCCAAAATCTTTCCCCGGGAGTTTTCTGATAAATTTTCTGAGTTGCCACCACCACTCAAAATATTCAAGAAAATGGCCCCCTACCCCGAATATCACTACTCACAAATCGAATGAGGAATTCTGGGAGTTCAGTTTTCACTTAGCCCTAAAATACACACCCCTTCTGTGCAAGGTTCACACCTGAACCTTTGGGTGCTCCCTTCCTTGGGTGCATTTCCAGCACCTAGAATTGGTTTCCCAAATCCCAACTCCTCTCAACCACAGACAGCAGGCCTGAGAATTAGGGATAAGGGGAAGGAGGGGAGTTGGGAGTCCAGCAGAAACACCTATAAGCAGGGCTTAGAATCATAGAATCATAGAGTTGGTCTCTTCCAACTCTATGATTCTTTGATTCTAGATGAAGAGAGGCCCTAGGCTGCTCCACTTGTGAGGCCCCTCCCCATCACCCACCCTCACGACTAGAAGAAAATGGAAGAGTGTTATAAACAAAATTGAGTGAAGCCAAGGATGATAATGGGCATTTAAAATTCTGCAATTCTCAATTTCTCCTCAAAAGGACATAAGATGTTATTGTTAAATATCAAGTTGATTTTTTTAAATGCATAAAATTAACACTGAAAAACTTTTGCAATTACTGAACTTTGTAAACCTTTTGTGGAATAAGCATTATTTTTTAGGAAAATGAAGTTGTAATGTTATTCTTAAAAAAACAAAAACACATTGAGTTTACAAATTATATTGCCTGGGAAGGGTAAATAATATGACCATGATTACCTGACATTGTGGCACTTTTAAAATCTACTTTATGTTGTCATTAAAAAGTCAGTTTTAAAACACATATTAAGAAGTAAACTACAACCATCAATACAGTAAGGCTAAACTGTTTTCCCCCTAGCCTTCCTCATAGCAAAATCATCCAAAACTTCATGAATATTTGTTTGTCTAAGTTGGTCACTTTCAATGTACAGAATGCTCAGTGCGGACAACCTCTCTTGAGACATTGTGACCCTTAATTCATTTTAAATTCTTTGGAGTCTTGAAAAACTCCTCTCTCCTCAGCAGTTAGTGACCATAAGGCTAAGAAATAATAATAATAATAATAATAATAATAATAATAATAATAATAATAAATAGCTGCAAATTGCTTCCACATTAGGAAAGGTCATACAAATTTTGTCCTTGTATATAATTTGATAAAGGTCTGTATGAGACAGAGAATGCTCTGCTGTAGGCCTATGGCTTTGTCTCACTTACAGGTGAAAGTGCAAAAGTTCATCAATAAGTTTCAGGCCAGTATATTCCGGGTATCTTCTATCAACAGTTCCACACCTTGCTGAATTTCTTGCTTAGATGTTGTCAAATCAGCAAGAATGGCAAACAATTGTGCAACATCACTGTACACAGTACTTCTTCTTTTTAAATTGGCTTCAAGTGCATCTAATATAGGAATAAATGATTTTTTCCTAAACCTGTATCTTGAAGAAAGTGCATCTAAGGCATTAGGTGCACTTCTGTCATTTCTTTACCGTTCCCTCACTCTTTGTCTCATTGTTTTGTAGTTGACATTTGGCAAGGTGGCTTTTGCTTGTTTCTCAAGCTCATCAAAATCATCTCTAATTTTCCTTAAGAAATCCAGAAGTGAACTGTACAAACTTGCACAAGAACTCAATAACAGGTCTGATTTCTGAAGGGCTTTGCTGACCTTGTGAAAATGACCTAGCACACGGGTCCAAAAATGCAGCGTAAACACAGATTCCAGTTCTTACATTTTCTGCAAAAGATTGTTAGCTTGGACCCCTTCCCATTAATGTCAGAGTCAGTATGAGGTCCAGTTACCAACATGCAGCCTGGCCTCCTGCCTTCTACAGGTAGTTCTGGATCCCTCCGCAGATCCCTTCCCACTGCTGCCTTCCCTGATCCCCAAGACCTCTCTCTGCCTGGGGACAATCTGCAGTGCATGCTGCAGGCACCAACAGGTCTCTGTGAAGTGTGAAAGATAGACTTTCCTGCCTGGGAGGGGTGAGGCCAGTGCCAGTCACATGTGCTTGCCTTGCTCTGTTCAAGCCAAGGAGGAAGGAAGGAATGGAAGGGACTTGGGAGAGCTTACTTGCCTGGTCTATCTCCCCCAGCCGGCCCCCCACTCACACTCTCCCACTGATTAAAGTGCAGCACATACCACTACTGACCTGACCCTTGAGCTGGGGAAGGCTGTGCAACTGGTTGTTGACTCTTTGCCTGCTGGCTCTGGATTCTGAGATGGAAAATTCTGGGGTGCGAGGATACTCATCAGGGCGGTTAGCAGAAGAAGGAAGTTCCAGCCAAATACAGGAGCAAAACAGCAGTCAGTAGACCACAATCTTTATTATTGCGCAACAGGTCTCCACACAGAGTAAGAACGCCGAACATGGGTTACAAGCTCCTTGAAGACCTTCCCTCCCTACCCAGAATACATTTCCAGAACCATCATTCATACATCGCTGATACATCAACATGATGTCACAAGGAGGGAGGGGAGTCGTGAGGTTGCCCAAGTTCATCAACTTGCCTCAGTTCTCAGATCAAGTTCTTAACACCTTAAGTTCCCGCCACCTAAATAACAATAAAACTATCTATAACAATAAAACTATCTGGCCTTCCTGAGGATGGGCTGTGGGAACACCTGGCCTCAGGAAACCCATCAACAGATGTTCATTGTTCCCCTCAAGGGAGGGGTGTTCTGTACTTGACTGTATATCCCAAGGATTATGGAGGAGGGTGGTATCCAAGTTGAGTACGTGACCTCTCCCTTCGAGGATTATGGAGGAAGATGATGTCCAAGTCCGCCTTTCCTTTTGAAGCAAAATGTCATTGAAATAGGAGAATTGGTTATGGCATTGATTTTATGTGATTTTCAAAGGTTAGGAGTCCAGCATGGTCAAGTACAAAGGGATACAATTCTGACACTTCCTTGCAACAATGCAACAAGTTTTGCCAATAGAAACCAGAAGGGATACAATTTGCCAGCCTTCTCCATTAACAGTGCAAAGGCTCATTGTCCTGGGGTTTTGAAGGAGGAGAGGTGTTTAGAGGTGACAAAAATGATTTCCAATAAGTGCCCCCCTTTATTTCCCCCCTTTTATTTCCATAACAAGTCATTGAGTCTGTACTTTGAATAGTGACACCAGGGACCCAGAAGTGGCAGCGCTTGTCATCCCAACCCCTGCACAGCCTCATCAGGGCTGGCCTTAAGGCAATTGGAGCAATTGGGCCAAATTGGGCCCCGCAGACCGCTCCTAAGGGGGCCCCCGCACCAGGGCAGTCTAGATGGATTGTAGTTCTGACTCTAAGATTCCAAGTTGGGCCCCAGAGCTTCAAATTGGGCCCCACTGGCTAGCCCTGAGTCTCATAGTTCCTGGGCCCAAGTTGCCTTGCCCTCGCATGAAGTCTTGGGTTTGCAATTTTGGAGAGTGAAGACTGTGGAGCTGTGGAGCGGGCTGGCTGGCGAGGTCCCCTAGATTTAGAGGCTTTTATGATTGCCTGGCTTTCAGTTTATTGTTTATTAGAAAAATGCATTTTAATATTAAATTGCATTTTATTCCTTTTTGAATATGGTGGTATAAACATGTTTTACATAAATAGGTAAAATGGTCATTAACGTAGTCAATGCAAGTTTTAACCTACTTTTACTTTTACTCTATTGCTATTTTAACTTTTAAAAAGTCTTACACTATTATTGCTGTTAATTATTCCTTTTGATAATTTTATTGTTTTATATTTTTCGTAAACCAGTTTTGGGGTTTTTTAATTTAAAAAAAGGGTGCATAAATTTTATGAAAGAAATAATAGTAAATAATTAATAAACAGCTAGTCTTTTAAAATTGACGCATCCCTCTTACCCCTCCCTCTTACCCCTCCCTTTGGGGGCTGCTGAGCGCAAAGTCCTCCCGTCTGGCGCAGAACCCAGAGACAGGCTGTGCGGGCTGCCTGTCAGTCCGCACGAAGTCCGCCCAACCGGTCTCTGGCGGCCAATCATATCGCAACAGCTTACCCCATTCTCATTTGTCAACGGGAGTCTGACGCGTCCTTCCTACTACTCCCTCCCCTCCTGAACTCCTTTCTCCTCCACTTCCAGTCCAAAAAGTAAAAGTTCGGGTAGGGGCGGAGACTTAGTGAAAGAGGAAGAAGCGCAGGGGACCAATAGCTAGGCAGCGGAAGTTTCTTTCACCCAATCCGGTACTGGCCCGACGCGCGGCCTGGCCTATGGGCGCCGGGCTGCCCGTGAGTGGCTTTTCTGCCTGTCGCTGAAGGAAGGGAGGCCGGTTCAGTCATGGCGGCGTTTCTGAGGGTTCTGGCTCTGGCTTTCTTGGCCGTGCTGGCCGGCTCCGGCGTCGGAGGGCAGAAGAAGAAGGAGGTGAGTGGGACTGGCTGGAGGAGGGCCGATGCGATCGCGATCCAGGCGGGGAGGAGGAGAAGGAGAGGGGCACACCGAGGTCATCCAACCGCCCACCTTTCTTACTCTCAGGGCCCAACTTACGGAGGCTCGCCAACAACTGTTTGCTAGGCCCGCAGTTATCCTAGGAAGAGCTGTGTGTGTGTGTGTGTGTGTGTGTGTGTGTGTGACGGACTACAGGGTTGCCGAGCATGTGCAGAGTGCCGCCCCCCCCGCGCCTCAAGCACTTTGCATCGCTTAATCGCCGCTCGTCTCTCCCACTGCAGTCCTGTGGGAGTCTTCGCCCCCCTCAGGCTGCTGCTGTTAAGTTGCCGCCGCAGAGAGTTCCTTGGTGGAGAGATGGATTCATAACAAGTGATGACGATGATGAAGATTATAATGAATGAAAAAGTTGTTGGCTGCGCCTTCAGCTGCTGCCAGTTACACTGCAGTAGCATACGTTTCGCCTAATTTATGCACGACCAGGCTGCAGCTATAGGCGCAAGCGAATTAGTGCCGCCAGATTTTAGCAAGAGATACCTAGAAGAGGGCATGTTTTCTTGTCACGTAGGGTAAACGACGGGCGCTGCCTGCGCTGAGGAGGAGGATCCGACGGTTATGACTCTTAGTCAGGCAGTGAATGGCAGGCGATGAGGGAGAGAACTGAGAATGGGGCAGCATCTAAGGGTGCCTTGGCATGTCTATGCAGACCGTATGTTGTGTGGCCAAGTTCATGGAATCAAAGGCTTGTTGCTGGTTGCATTATCTGAATGCTGTGAACAGGCCTAGTGTACTCCATATAATCTGGACATCTTCCGTGGCCTCTGACCACGGGCTGATGGGAGTTGTAGTCTGCCAACATCTGTAGGACACGAAGTTGCAAGCAGCACTGAGGAAGTGAATATTCACCTTGATTTATCAATGGTAGTTGCTGTAAAGAAATGGTACTGGGAAGGAGATGAAATGATAACATACTGGAAAGGCTAAAGAGAAGACATCAGTATTCCATTCTCAGTCTCCCAACACGGCTTAGGAGCTGGGTCTGATTCTGGGATCATGCAGCTAATACATATCATTTAAATGTCATGCATGGTTGTTCAGATTAAGCTGTGGCAGCTTAGACTCCTAGTAGAAGACTTGTTTAACAGAAACTGTTTTCTTCCTTCCAATTTTATATTTTAGATGGTTCTTTCAGAAAAAGTGAACCAGCTGATGGAATGGGCTAGCAAACGGTCGGTAATTCGACTGAACGGTGATAAATTTCGTCGTCTTATAAAGGCACCACCAAGAAACTACTCTGTGATTGTTATGTTCACTGCGCTTCAGCCTCACAGACAATGTGTTGTGTGCAAGTATGGATTTAAATTACTTGAAAATTCATTATTACAGAAAACCTTGTATGCTTTTTTGTGTCACAGTATTTCTTCTTTGTTTTATCTTTTTTACTTCAAACTTATTCTGTTGTACTCAAGGGAAAAGCACCATGCTAGCATTCAAAAAATCAGGTGACCAAAAGATTGTTAAAGTAGCAATTAATCATTGTGATATTTTGAAAATAATTCTTTTAGAAATGATATAAAGTCATACACAGGGAGTTGCTTTTTAAGTTAAAAGTACTATACCTGCTTCTTATGAAGAGAATTTGACAGAAAGAACGTCTCTTCAAACAATTCATGTAGGTATTGTGCTTGCTAAACCTTATTCAAGCACCTGATTCACAGACCATCATCTTTAATTGACTTAGCATTTGGCATCAGAGACTTAAATTCTACCTGCGCACATCTGAAGTGCCAACCGTAACTGGTTTAGCATTTACAGTGGTGCCTCGCAAGACGAAATTAATTCGTTCCGCGAGTTTTGTCGTCTTGCGATTTTTTTCGTCTTGCGAAGCACGGTGTCGGGAAAGTTTTGGAAAAGCTTCAAAAATCACCAAAGTCTTTAAAAACCTCAAAAAAGGCTACCACCCCGTGTTTTGTGAGTTGCTCCTCGAAGTCAAGTCGCAACTGTATTAACAGTGTTAAGAAAAAGGAAACAAACTTGCAAGACGTTTCCGTCTTGCTAAGCAAGCCCATAGGGAAAATCGTCTTGCGAAGCAGCTCAAAAAACAAAAAACCCTTTCGTCTAGCGAGTTTTTTGTCTTGCGAGGCATTCGTCTTGCGAGGTACCACTGTAGCATTAAAGATTTAAATTCTTCTTACTCACACCTGGAGTGCCATCTGTTCTCAAATTATAAAAATATTCTCAAAGAAATGCTCATTGACATGAGGGATCCAGCTAAAGACATTATTTATTGATACTACATTAACTGAGACTGAGGGGTGTGGGTCTTTGAATCCTACTATATAAAAGGCTTTCTCCAAAGAAAGCAAAATTGCAACTTTGTGGGAACGCCAGGAAGTATATGCATCCCTGTCAGTTCAGATGCTGTTCTTTTGTAGTGGTGACTTGTGGCTGTATGATCATTGCTGCTGTTCAGGTTTCTTCTTACAGCTACTGTGAAAGTGTGGGCTTACATTCTTGAAACTTCTGATGGGCTAAATGCTTTTAAATCTTGACATGGTTAGATGCTTGAACAGCACTTTCTTACATTTTTGTAGGCAAGCTGATGAAGAATATCAGATTCTGGCAAACTCATGGCGGTACTCAAGTGCATTCACAAACAGGATCTTTTTTGCCATGGTTGATTTCGATGAAGGCTCTGATGTATTTCAAATGGTAATGTGCTTCTTGCGTAGTTATACTTGTGGAGTAGGATTAAGAAAAAGATGTGCGTTACTGTTTTGTTTCTAAAAACAGTTTATACTTACTGGGGCATCAGTAACATAAACATACTTAATATTACTCTAATATTTAGGATTGCACATTAAGTAATAACTTGCTTCTTCAGAGCATTTCAAACTAAGTGGAGTGGGAGGGAAGAAATAAGCTTTTCTGGTAACCTGTAGTACAACTACTGGTATTTATGTGAGACAGTGGAGTTTGCAACATAGACCTATGTGTCTTGGTTCACAAGTTATGTCTGGATAACTTCAGAATCTGAGCTCCATTTCAGAGCATGGATTTTAGGTAGCAGCTCAACAGACAATTTGAGTGACAGTACATTTCTTTGTGTTTCTTAAAAAATACAGCTCAACATGAACTCTGCTCCAACCTTCATTAATTTCCCACCAAAAGGGAAACCGAAAAAAGGTGACACATACGAACTGCAAGTACGAGGTTTTGCTGCTGAACAGCTAGCCCGTTGGGTTGCTGATAGAACTGATGTCAATGTAAGTAAAGGCCAGAATTCAACTTCTATGCAGTGTTTTGCTTCTAACTGTAATATAAAGAAATATATTATTGTTCTGTTGCCTCAAATAGCAGGACTGCCACACGAAGAGAACAAGTTCATGAGCACTTGTCCATCTTTTCCACCATATGCATACACTCAATACAATTATTTCTTTTAAACCAGTACAGTTTACTTAGTCTTATTTTGGTGCTCTATGAAATCATGTTTTCCATGGTGGATGGAGAAAGGGTCGGTGGGTTGAACTGTTAGATATTTTTATGGAGAGGCAATTTTGTTGTTTTCTGTGTTTCCCAGTTGTCATGAGCATCCTGGTAAAACTGCTAGTGATTGGAGTGTCTTTTTAAACACACTTCTGGTATATTGTCATGTCACTTTTCAAATTATTTTCAGGGCATTCTAAAATCCAGCAACAACCCTTTGCTATGGTTTTTGTATTATTCTTGCAGCTTAATCCTATCCTTAATCTTATATTATCTGGGAGTAAGGCCACTGTGTTCGGTGGGAATTGTTTCCATATAAGTGTGCATGTAATAAATGCAGCTTTAAATTGTTTAAAGGTTCTTATTAGAGATCTGTGGGCATCTGCACCATTTACCTGTAAGGTAAGATTGACTGCAACTTGGAGCAGGAGTACCTCAGTGGTACATCTCAGTTTGAAATGCTCACTTCATTGTGGTCTAATACTCCGTGCTATTTCTGAGGTTTTGTACACAAGATGAAACATTTTCTTTTTAAAGCAGATGTTTTTGTAATGTGCTTCCTGGCTATAGTTTAATTGTAACCTACAGTGGTGCCCCGCAAGACGAATGCCTCGCAAGACGGAAAACTCGCTAGACGAAAGAGTTTTCCGTTTTGGAGGTGCTTCGCAAAACGAAGCTCCTATGGGCTTGCTTCGCAAGACGAAAATGTCTTGCAAGTTCCTGCGGTTTTTTCCCCCTCCCCCCCCTTTTTCTAAGCCGTTAAGCCGCTTATCTGCTTATCCGATAAGCTGATAAGCCGCTAAAAGCCGCTAATAGCGCTAATCCGCTAATCCGTCAATGGGCTTGCTTCGCAAGACGAAAAAACCGCTAGACGAAGAGACTCACAGAACGGATTCTTTTCGTCTTGCGAGGCACCACTGTACTTTGAGGTAGCTTATGAGAACAACAGAGTGTAATGTAATTAAAATATTGAAATTATTTGTATACTTCAGTGTTACTTCTCAAAAGCAATTTTCCGTATGGAACACTTTAGATTTTTTTTTAGAAGTTGAAGTAGCTTTGCTGCATTCTCAAAAACTTACCTATCCCTCTAGTAGTAAAACTGTTCAGGAATTATTGGTGCCTATATATTTTTGTACAGAATTCTTCCAGTTTGCTTTAATGTGCAAACTGTTTTTGACTTTCATAGATCCGTGTGATAAGGCCTCCAAACTATGCTGGGCCCTTGATGTTGGGGCTGCTCCTCGCTGTTATCGGTGGCCTTGTGTACTTAAGAAGAAGCAACCTGGATTTTCTGTATAACAAGACAGGCTGGGCTTTTGCTGCTTTGGTAAGCAAATTATGTTGTAACCACTTTGTTTCCTCTTTTCTCCTCAGGATCCCTCTCCCAACCTTCCTCATCACTTGGCCTATTCTTTGCATGCATCTACTGTGATCTGGCTGTATTGTTTTTCAGTTTAAAAAACAGATTGTCATTCTGGTTTTTAGTAACAGTTTCTTTTCCACTGATTCAGATGGAAGGGCTGCTGTATCTTGTCCCCCATTCCTGTCAGCATCGCCCTTGAGCCAGTGCCACCAACTGGACTCATCCACTTCAGCCCCGACTGGGCTAGGCGAGCTGGGTAGCACTTCCAGAGACCACCTTCTGCACAGGAACAGGTCAAAGTGCTGTGGACTCACAGCTTAGAGTTGTGAGCACCGAATTCACTCCAAGAAGAAGACAGTCGTCGCACAGCAGAGTATAGCATAGCATAAACGACTCGGAGAGCAGCTCTGTAGAATATCTTCTTTATTCTATCTACAACTATAATACACAACTATATACAGAGCTAAATGAGGTCTAAACGAAAAATGCTGAACTGCACTGAGTGTCTGCAGCTGCTCTTAGCAGCAACCTTATCTATACACACGATCTCTAACACTCAATCTCTCTCTCTCTTTGATGTGAGGCTGGAGCGAAATAAGTAGAGAGCAGAAAACCACCCCTCCTCTCTGGAGAATCAGCAGATTCTTGGATATGGGAGGGGTGAAATCTACTCAGTTCCAGGGGAGTATTAGCAAACAGGATGGCTTTGGATCCTGAAGATCCACTGCCATTTCTAGAAAATCCCTTCTTGTTCTCTCCAGCGTCAGAGTTCTGATATCAGAGTGATAATGGCTGTGGACCTTTCTGCAGCTTCATAGAGCAGGTATATGAGGTCAGATCTTCTTGTCTGAGGTTGAACCTCTCTATCCTTTGAGAGGGAAATCAGGAGAATACTATTCTTCCCCCACTCCCACCCCTAAGATTGTGGCAAAAGGTTTTTTGTTTGCTTGTTTGTAAATTGTTGTGAGTTTACATTTTAAAGGAAATAAAATAGCTTCATTCCCTTAGTGGGAGCTCTTTTATTTGAGGAAAGATGCAGTTGTGAAATTACTGTTTTCTGTTGGATTAAAAAAAGGGTTTTAATTGCTTTGCTTGGGGCATGTTCAGTATTGGCAGCCACTTGTGGACAGGATGCTCTTGGCTATGTCACATGATTGTGTAATATGCAATCATGATGTGGGCATAAATGAAATATGAACTCATTTTGAGGATTCAACTAGGGCACAGGCTCAGAATATATCTGAAATTTAAAGCTTTGGGGAAACAGTGGAAACAAATTAATGACCAGTATTGTTTGAGGTCACTTAAAAGGTGAGCAGTGTTTGAATCAGGGATGTCTTTCTTGGTGCTTACAAGTTTACTGATTTCTCAACGTGTTGTTTCCAGTGTTTCGTTCTGGCAATGACATCAGGGCAAATGTGGAATCACATCAGAGGGCCACCATATGCTCATAAGAATCCCCATACAGGTCAAGTGGTAAGTGATCATTTAAAAAACAAACAAACATCAAAACTCCAGTATAACTTTTTAAATATGTTAACATGTCTTTCAGCATATACTCCCCTTCCAAGTTCATTTGTAAAACTCTAAAACACATGAAAATACAACCCCCATCCCATAAAAGCAGCAGCTACTAAGTATTTTTTCATGTGTCAAAGTGTCAAACAACTCAACCACAGACTTCAATTAATGTTTCTCAAGAGGCTTTCTAAGGACCAGCAGAGTGTCTCTCTGGTTCCAAAGAGTTCCAGAGATTCCCACCCTGGGAGAAAGCACTATTCCTTGCACTCACACAATTTAATAGCTCTTGGTTGATGGACCAGAGAGCAGGGCTCCTGCTTGGGCAGGCTCATACAGGTATAGGTGGTCCTTTAGACAACATAGTCTCCAACGATTTAGGGTTCTAAAGGCCACAACCAGCTCTGAATTGAGTCCAGAAGCAGAGGGGTTGTCAGTGTAACTGATACAGGATAGGTGTATTCAGAACAGGAGGTACAGAATATGTAACAGATACAGAACAGGAGCATTCAGAATAGGTAATACATTTTTTACTGAAGTGTGTAGATTATTGTAGCTAGTATACATTTCTCTCCTCCTGAATCTTTTTTGGCCACACTCTGCCTGTTAAAGAGGTCCCTGATTAGGCATATTCCTTCCTTCAATTTATTGTTAAAGGTTCTGTCTTTCATACCTGTAGCCCTCTTAAATGTGAAACTGAGAGTTGCTAGGCTGTGCTAACAGTGAAAATATTGTGGTTATTTTAAGCAACACTTCATTGCTTTCGGATTCTCACAAACTGTTGGTCACAGTAATGCTTCTAAATCTCGCATTTTCAGTTTTAAAAATATATACGTTTTTGCCTCCTATTTACTTTCACTACATACTGTTCAATTCAAAATTTATGTATCCTGTATTTGTTTGTATTCAACTTGGTTTTGCTCAGAGTTGACCCACTGAAATTAAGGAACGTGATTAAATTATGCCCATTAATTTCAATGAGTAAGACTGAGTTCAGTGCCACCCCATGTTTAGTAAACGTGCAGAAGCACATTGAACTGAGTTTTCTGTTTGAAAACTTGCAAAGGTTTAACATGGGGACCTTCTTTATAAGTCTACTTTAAACCTTGATCAGGAGAGTTCTGTGGTTATTTTGGCACATGGCTGGCAATCAGAGCTCCTGCATGAAGCAGGATTGCCCTCTGTCTCCCCTGCTTTTTGTGCTGGCCCAGATGTTTAGCAAGTTGCTGCGAGTTTTAATCTGCCACCACATCTCTACTTATTTAGATTCATACCAAGAATGATTGAAGACTGGAAATTTTTTAAATTGGCAAAACATGATTCTAACATTTATACATATATACAATGAAAGCCTTGTTTGCCACACAGAGTATTATTTCAATTGACTTCACAAGGGGGTGAGACAGTACGTAATATTGGATGGTGTTACACCATGTGACCTCTGCACGGTGATATCATGGACTGGCTGGCTGAAGGGGAGTGGTGGGTGGCACCAGCCAGGGAACCCCCAATGGGAACCTTAGAGCAGGAAGGCTCAGAGCCAGGGGATTGGTGGTGGGATGCTGAGGAGAGGTCAGGGGGAGAGGCTTGGAAGGAAGGGCTGGATGTTGAAGGTGCAACAGGGTTTAGCGAGTAGGAAGTGTTGGTGACAGGGAGCAGTTCAGACTCCGAGGCTGAAGCAGAGGAGGGGAGTCAAGAGGCTGCTGAAGAATCCAGGGACCCTCCCTCTCCTGCTGCAACAAGCTCCCCTCCTTCTTGGTCTCCAAGAATATGCAGAATAATGAGGAGGCCAGAACAGAGACCAGAGGCACGCTTGGGAAATATCTGGGAGAGGAGGAGCCTCAGAAAGGGCGCAAGGCAGGGATCTTCAGTCCTGGCAACTGCTCCATAGCGCTGATACCTGCTGGGAAATGTTGCTGAGCTGTATAAAGTTTAATTGACTAACTCTTTACTAACTTCACTAACAATGAAGCCTTGCGTCTTTCGTACTGACTTGCATCTGCCTCTGGCCCTGACAAGTATGAAGTATGATCATATCTTGTTATGTTCCAGGGACAGAACAAAAACATATATGTCCGAACACCCCTGGAACCACCCCTGCATGAGCAATTTTACCTCCCAGAGCTGGTGCGGTGAACAGGTCTTACCCCCACAAACAAGGCAGAGAGCTTTTATGCTCTCCTACTTGCATATTGGGCTCTGGGAGGCTCTCTTGTTGCTTCTGGGAGGCTCTCACAAGATCTGAGTTCCCACAAGATCTTGTGAGAGCCTCCCAGAGCTTGGTAAGCAAGGTGCAGAGCTTAAAAGCTATTTGTGTGCCAGGAAAACCCAGAACAAAAGGAGCTTTTAAGCTCTCCAACTTGCATGCAATTAATTTGCAGGCTTTCAACTTGCCAGCTTTCAGCTACAGAGGTTGAAATTGTGCTAGTTAATTGTGTGCAAGATGTGATCATACGGTATTACTAGTAATCCAGGGATTGGACCAGCTGCGTGGATACAAATCAAATGTATTGCAAATTGTAGTTCCTATAGGGAAAATCCAGTTTTGTAAAAATGCTTATTCAGACATAAAAAAATCCGTTTTTGGCATCTTATTTTTGGATTTGGAGGTGGTGGTATGCCAAACAAGTACCCTCCAATTTTCTCACTGGTGTTTCATCTGGTTAGAGAAAAAGCCCAAGGAACTTCTATAATCTTTGGTTTATTCTTATTTCTTAGGTCAACAAAGGAACATGGATATAGGCCTCTGAAAACACATGGAAAGGCATTTTAATATAATTAGACAGGGACCAATCGACCCATATGCTCATTTTCAATGGGTATCATTGGGGCACTTTGTATGGTAGGGGGAAGAGGTATAATTTTATTTTAAGTTAATTTCTTATTTATGCAAAACCGATAAACTTTTTTTAAAAAAACAACTTCAGAAGCCAAACACTGATAGTAAATTCATCTGAATACACTTAAATGGAAGTTGCACACTTCTTAAAGGAGGATAAGGAGTGTGTGTTAGAAAGACCAGTAACCTTTTTAGTTGGGTCCTGTTGCTCCTTTGCATATCTTATACTTAGGGAGAAAGTGAAACTGCATTCCTTGGAAGCAAATCTTTTATGCAGTTTTGTTAGTTGTCGTCTTTAAAGTGCATATATGCATTTCATAAACCAACTGGATAGATTTCCCTTTTGCTGGGAGGTATGGTATTTTGGGTTATGGCTCCAACCTCTGGTCAAGGCACGTGCAAACACTTTGGAAAAAGGCTATAACAACCATGATGCTCCAGTAAGCAGTGGTTCCCAGGGGGTCTGTGGCACCATTCACATAACAAAAAGCACTATAGAGAGAGCAAAATTTCCAGAAGTAGGGGTCCATGGCTTGGCTTTTGAAACAAAAGGGGTCCACAGAACTTAAAAAATTGGGAACCGCTAGTTCGCTCCTCTCTTGGTCAGATTAGGTACAATTGATTCTCTCCGACTCTCTCTTTGGCTCTTGGGTAGATGGAATTGCTGAAAGAGTGCTCTTCCTTGCTTTTTGAGACTGTTATAGGTGACAGTAACAATGCAGTCTCTAGTCTAGGAGGACTGGGCTATTGCCTTTGTAGGTTAAAGCCAGCATTTTAAATGTAGAAAGCAATCGCTGTTACACATCCTGAAATATTGTTGTAGTTCCTGGCAAGAGATGGACCATCACATGGAGCATTAGCTGACCTGAGAAGGCAGGTACCACAGTAATATGCTCTAGGAATATCTACTGATTGGAACAGTTTTGCAGTCAGCAGAATCCCTTTTAAGTAAGTCTGGAGACTGAGTGAACCTGGCTTTTCATCCCCATGTAGATCTGTGTGTGAGCATGTGCAAATTTAGATCAGGAATCTTATAATCAAATATGAAATAATCAAAACTGCATATTTTTTTTAACCCTTTTCTTGCAGAGCTATATCCATGGGAGCAGTCAAGCTCAATTTGTTGCTGAAACACACATTGTTCTGTTGTTTAGTATCCTTCTTAACAACAAATACTTAAGCGTGAAAACCTTTTGACCAGATCTAGCCAAAGTTTCCTGGGGCTTGCATCAGTGACTTTGCAACCTTCTAAAGAAATCATTGATCAGATCAAGCAAGTAGTTGCTGAATTCTGATGCCAGTCAGGTGTGGTTATCTGAATGGAAAACCATTGTAACTGCTAGATTTTCATATAGGTGGTAGCCAACTATGTTAAGAGTAGACTCAGTGAAATGAATACTGTAGATCTAAATGTGTGTCCATTATTTTCAGTGGCTCCTCTCTCAGTAGGACTGCTGTTATTTTTAAGGACAGACATGATTAGGATGTTTGTACTTTTACCTCTTGTTATAAACATTCCTGGGGGTTATCTATATAAGTTTAAGCTTTTAATTGTAACTTCAAAGCGGCACAGAGTGTGCATTTCCCTCTCTATGCTTCTTGGGTTTGTTTCTGTTAGTACAAACTGAAAATGGCATTGCTTGTGAAGTGGGTTGTAATCCATGAAAGCTTTTGACTCAATAAGTTTGTCTTTATAAACTGCTTTGAATTCTTTGATTTGGTTAACATTGTGTAACTTATGCTGCCCGCCCCATCCCTAATTCAGTGATTTCCCCCTCCAGCTCCCCTCACTACTGTCTCTTGCTTCCAATTGTGCATAAAAGATAACAAGTCAGGTGGGGTGGGCAGGAATCTAGCAAGGTTTTGAGAATGCATAGACCTAAAACGTAATGACTCTTACCCTTCCTCCTTTTTTCTGTAGTTCAACCCAGAATGCTAGGGCAAGGTTGCTGAGTTCAAAATTGGCTCAGTCTTGCAAACTCTGCAACTACAGCAAAAGTTAGGATTTTTCTAAATGCATAGCATTAAGAAACTGGATAGGAATGTGCCATACTGTTGTTCAGCCTGTTGAAGTGGTTTAGCCTTAAACAGCTTTCTCAGATGCTGGTGTTACTCTTGGGATGGTGCTCCTGCATGAAGCTGCAACTTCTGACCTGGAGGTAGTGAAGAGAAAAAGTAAGTACCAGATTTCGCTTCACCTGGCAGGGATGGTAGTGTTGGGTTGCAGCGCCATCTTCTGGTCAATCCTGACACCACAGCATTCTCCTTCCTTCCTTCCTTCCTTCCTTCCTTCCTTCCTTCCTTCCTGTGCCTGGAATGCAGTGTGCTTGCATTTTTAAACAGGGAATGCCAGGATGGAAAAAGCAGGTGTGTGTGTGTCCGTAAAAAATATTTTGGTGCTTGGGAAAACTTTCCTCTGGCAGTTGTGTTGTCAGTAAGAATAGGTTTGTTACTTATTGCTGGTTTTCTAAGTTGTATGGCCTCTTTTGCTCCTTTTGAGAGTTTTCTCACAAATTAATTCAGTTGGAACTGCAGTTAGACAATCTACGTGTGTGGCGCTGTGGTCTAAACCACTGAGCCTAGGGCTTGCCGATCAGAAGGTTGGCGGTTCGAATCCCCGCAACGGGGTGAGCTCCCGTTGTTCGGTCCCAGCTCCTGCCCACCTAGCAGTTCAAAAGCACGTAAAAGTGCAAGTAGATAAATAGGTACTGCTCCAGTGGGAAGGTAAATGGCATTTCTGTGAGCTGCTCTGGTTCGCCAGAAGTGGCTTAGTCATGCTGGTCACATGACCTGGAAGCTGTCTTCGGACAAATGCCGTCTCCCTCGGCCTATAGAGTGAGATGAGCGTGCAACCCCAGAGTCGTCCGCGACTGGACCCTAACAGTCAGGGGTACCTTTACCTTTAAGCATTCTTTAAATTTCAGTTTCATGATTGATTATTTTCATGCTGTTTCGGCAAGCTGACTTCATTTTGTGATTTATTTTCTGCAGTAATGTGTATGGCTGGCATCGGTTTGGTGGTCTTTTTCTTCAGTTGGCTGCTGTCAATATTTAGATCTAAGTACCATGGTTATCCATACAGGTATGTATTTTTTGCTATTTAAAATCCCTTTATCCCAATAAATAGCTTTTTAATAGTATTTTGACATCGAGCTTCCCTGAAAAAAAAATTGCATAGTTTGTTTGTTTGGATAGTTCCAAACTATTAATAATACTTAAACAGAGAACACGGAACATGGTGTCACTTTTTTCCTTAATGATGTTTTATGAAGTAACACTAATGTCTCAACAAATGAAACTGATCTGTAGAAAATGTAACTTGAAAAAAGAGACATTGCGCATACTTTAGTAAACCAAGAAATCTTTAATAAAAAAATACATTTAAATAAATAAATTGATGTTTTATGAAGAATATGAATTAGACTGCTTTTTTTAAAAACAAGCAAGTTAGAAGATAAATAAACCAGATCAAGGGAAGCAAGCATGGCCATTCAGAATGCACAATGCAGTACATCACAGGGTTAAAACCACAGGGGGGAATCTTTATTTTATAACCAGACAAGACTACCTTTTCTGTTTTGTGATTAAAGAAAAAACATACTTTGTAACTTGGGAAGTATTTGGACAAGTCTCTAAAATATGCTAGGCCTACATGCGGTATACAAATGGCATGCACAGGTTCCTGCCTGCAGAGAGATTGTCTAAGTGGGACTTGGAGGGAGAGGACCCTGAGCTAAGAAATCATCAGCTGCTGTTCTGTTGGCATGTTTTCTGTCACACTTCCCAAATGATGCCAACTAAAATTTAAATGCAGCATATTCTGATGCCAAGTACCGTATTTTTCGCCCTATAGGACGCACTTTTCCCCCTCCAAAAATGAAGGGGAAATGTGGGTGCGTCCTATGGGGCGAATACAGGCTTTCCAAGCCGCGCCAGCCTCCGGAGGGTCGCGCAGAGCTGCCTGCCCTCCCGGGCTCCGTGCAGCTCTGCGCATCGCTCCGGAGCCCGGCGCCAAGCCGCGCTGGCCTCCGTAGGGTCGCGCAGAGCTGCCTGCCCTCCCGGGCTCCGTGCAGCTCTGTGCATCCCTCCGGAGCCTGGCGCCAAGCCGCACCGGCCTCTGGAGGCTCACGGAGGGCAGGCAGCTCTGCGCGACCCTCCTGCGCCGGGCTCCGGAGGGTTGCACAGAGCTGCCTGCATTTGGAAGCCTCAGCGCGCCCGGGCTTCGCACAGCTGTCCGCAAGCCTGGGGAGACCGGCGCGGCTCCCTATTCTTGTGGATAGCAGGCTCTTCTGGGGGCTGGGGTCAGGGGAAGCTCGGGCTTCCCCCGCGCCAGCCCCGTGCCTGGGGGGGGAATATTTTTTTTTCTTTATTTCCCCGCCCCCCCCCCAAAAACTAGGTGCGTCCTATAGGGCGGTGCGTCCTATGGGGCGAAAAATACGGTACATTTTACATTTCTCTAAAATCAGTGGGTGTTCAATTTGAGTCTTTAGGATTTGTGAGCAATAATTGCTTATTTTGATTTGGTAACCTAAAAAGTGTGTGTTCTCTCTCTCTCTCTCTCTTAGCTTCCTAATGAGCTAAAGAATGTTGCATCTCTGCTGTTTTCCTGAAGCGTGAAATATGTGGACCATGCTACCTCCATTTGAAATGAATAGGAATGAAACAGTTGCACACCAAACCAAAGATGTCAAGTGCCTTGACAATTTGCCCTAAAAGTCATGGGGAGTACAGTAGTACCTCGGGTTAAGTACTTAATTCGTTCCGGAGGTCTGTTCTTAACCTGAAACTGTTCTTAACCTGAAGCACCACTTTAGCTAATGGGGCCTCCTGCTGCTGCCGCGCTGCTGGAGCACGATTTCTGTTCTCAGCCTGAAGCAAAGTTCTTAACCCGAGGTATTATTTCTGGGTTAGCGGAGTCTGTAACCTGAAGCGTATATAACCCAAGGTACCACTGTATTAAGATACATGCTCTTTTCGCCATTTAATTTAGGTCTAGTATAATTTTGCATCTGGGTTCCTTGTTTCTGATTAGTTTAAAAGAAAACTAAATTTTAATTCTCAGGCGACAGTCCAAAGACCCTCTTTTAGGCAGATGTTAGTGCCTCTGTGTTATGCATAGAGACACCCTGATAATCACAGTTATCACCACTTGTAGCTTCATGAACTACTGGACTTATTCATAGTTCACCTGCGTTACAGGGTGGCTTTTAGCAGGGCAGGAGTGGGGCACAGGGAGGGCTGCTTTGACAAGGGAGGTGCCCCAAAACAGTACAGTGTGTATGTGCAGCTTTCCATGCAGCCCTTTGGGCTGTGGCTTTAAGTGTTATACACACTGCATTGTATTTCTGGCACCTACAAGGACTTTACATTTTGCCCATATTTTTCTCCCCCTATTGCAAAGGACTCACTGCAGATGCATTCAGTAAGTCCCTCTTTGTAAGATGTTCAGCTTCCAGGTGATCTGATTCTGTGTTGGGCAAAAGATTCCTGCATTGCAGGGGGTTGGACTAGATGATTGTCATGGTCCCTTCCAATTCTATGATTCTATGATGACATTTTTAACCTCGGTTTCTGTGCAGCATGTTCCAATGCAGAGCCAACTGGCAAGAGAAGTTGACTCCTTTTTTTTTTTAAAAAGTACATGACTTGAAAGTGACTTCCATAAGCCTTTCTCTCTCTCTCAAACCCTGGGAGTATCTTTCAGTAATACTGCTGTCATAATTATGAGGGGGGGCCCTGGTTGCATTCATTCGCTTTGTAATCTACACTAGAACTCCTTCAGTACAGTGCATTGTCCTCTTACTCCATGCACAGTGCAAATGCTCATGACTACCAGAAAGTGTTTTCTGATGTTGAAACTGTCATGTGGCCTTGTAGCCCCAGCAGACCTTTGTTCAATAAAGAAGCATCCTCAACAATGTGTGTTAAAAGGTGCACAGCCCGTATCTGATTCTCTGTGCAGAGCAGCCTGCTGTATACACATTCACCAGCCAGACAAAGTCAGTGTGGTCAGCCTTGATAGTATCAATTCGCTATTGTGTTAGTCTCCCAAACAAGTGAATGGCATTGTTAAAGCTACTGTATTCATATTGCCAACTTGCTATGGGCTGAAAATAAGGCCCTGTTCCAGTATGTTAATGACATGCCTACTGTTCTAGGTGCTGCCTCTGTGTGTGTGTGTGTGTGTGTGGTTTGTCGTGCACAGAACTCTTCAGTGCATTTGATACTTGGCTCACAGAGCAGTTTTCACATGGAAGCCTGTCTCTAGGAGTTGATTTCCATTGCCAGTTTGGGGCAACATCTCTTAAATCTGAACATACTGCATGCAGAATGCAGGGCAAAGCATCAAACATGTCAGTGCTTTTGTCATTGCCTTGTAATAATATTTAACTGCTTTTCTTTACCTCTGAATGCAGTGGAAAGGTTTGGGGTGAGAGAGGGAAGATCCCAATATGTATAATGAATCTTAGTTGGTGATTGTAAGCTTTATAAGAAAGCCTCTGTTTCTTCTGCTTTTGCTGCTTTCCCCAGCTCCTTCCATGTTCAATGAAAATGATCTGCTTGGTTCTCATCCTGCAGTCCATGAGGATACTAGGAACTGGATCTAGAAGGAATCTTAAAAGGATTCTAGGAACTGTATTAATTTGGAACTTCTGCTTCTTGGCTTGATAACACTGTCTCCTTCAAGGCAGGCCTAATACTAGGTGTGATTGACGACATAGAACAAGAAAAACATAGTGCTTTTTCTCGAAGGGAGTGGGTATGGGGAAGGTAAGGGAAATTATGTTTCTCATTAAAAGTTGAATAGAGGTAACTGCTACTATACTGAACAAAGTAGTTTTCTCTTATGCAAATTTGCTATATTTAATTATATTTCAAGTGCCTTAACACCATTAGTCTATTTTTTGATATTGACTCCATAAATATTTTTTAAAATGCATTTTTATACAGCTCACAGCATTCAGTTGTAGCATGGATATTGAAAGGACTACAATGGATTTTGAACAACTTTCAATAAATATTTTACCTACCCCTGCTGTTGTGTTTCTGAACTTTATCACATCTCTAAAACATCATTTGTGGACTACAGATGTTTCCCCCTCTGCAAGCCTCAGCTTGACATAAATCAGACTTGCTCAAAAGGCTGCATTTTGATAGAAATATTTTTAGGTGCATTTGACTGAGATGATCTATATCATAAGTGGCCATCATCTAGCTCTATCACATTTGACTCTGACAAGCAATGTCTGCAGCAGCGAGAACATTGTTAGTAACACCATCCAGGACTTCATTCTGGAAAGGTATGCAGAGTGACCATCCCACTTGCACATTGTACCATTAGACACACCTAGTTTTTAGAAGAGGGAAACAAGAAACAAGAAAGCAACACAAAGCCTCTTGAGCAAAGAGGCAGGAGCGCTCCAGCTGCGCTCAAGAGGCTTTGCGTGGCTATCCCTGAAGCCAGGAGAGCAAGAGGAATCCGTGCACACCGATCCCTCTTCTCTCCTGGCTTCAGTGATAGCTGCGCAGCCTGCATTCTCTCCATTAGACGTACGCACATTTCCCCTTACTTTTTAGGAGGGGAAAAGTGTGTCTTATAGAGTGAAAAATACACTATTTTTTGTTTGTTTGATCTATATGCTACCCTTTATTGAAAGGTCCCAGGGCACTGTACAACATTAAGAACAAACTTTATACAGTGTAATAATAAAAACATAATACAGAGGATAATAGTACACAGTATAATCATCATCATCATCATCATCATCATAACAGCCATAGTCCCTGCATTTAATAGACCATAGACTGAGAGGCTTTCCTTCGTATTCTCCTACAGTAGTTGAGCAGAGAGTGGAGGGATCACTAACACCAAGCCCTGGTAGCAGCAAGGCCCCTGAAGTCAGCTGTCGCCTGACTGAATGTTGGGATTCCTGTCTGCTAACTTCCAGCAAAAACAAAACCCAAAGCCTTCATTGAACAGCATAAGGGATGGAGTGGGTTCCTACTAACCCACTTTGGGAACCACTGTGCTAACCACCTCAAAAGCGCTTCTCTGCCTTCGACCGTTGCAGAAGATGTGGTGTCCCTGCAGGGCTTCGTCTTCATGCTACACACCTTCATCTGTTGCATAACCATGTGGCTTGCAGAGAATCCTATCTAGAACACGCAAGTTGACAACCTATCTAGCCTTAGGAACTTATGACCACTGGCCATGTGGAAAGCTGCAACACTACGGCCTCCCCAGGGAATGGTGTTGGCATCTGTCGTGAGCAGGGGTCTCCAACCTAAGGTTCATGGGCCACAAGCAGCCCACGGGGGTTGTTTAAACAGTCCCCTATCCGCCCGCTTGGCGAGTCCCCGTGTGCTGTGCTAAACTGGCACAGTGCAAGGACTCGCTTTTTCCATGCCGGAAATTGCGCATGCGCAGATGCCGGAAATCGCGGGCAGGCGTGCTCATGCTCCGGCCCACAGATGGATCTCCGCTAGAGTGAACCGGCCCAGGCAAGGTAAACCTTGCCGAGCCCTGGTCTTGAGAGACAATGAAGAGTGCGCCTTTGGGGGTAAAGTCAAAGCAGTTGGAGAGTCACAGCACCTGACATGGCTGCAGAGACTGATACAGGAGAGGAAGGTTTTATTGCAGATGATGGCGTCCGTTTTTGCTGAAAGACCACCTGGATATATGCTACCCACTGGCTTGTCCTGGGCTGGAAGGACGATATGAGAACTTTTCATCTCAGTTGTGTTTTGTTCAAGCAAATAAGGTCTTCCAGGGCTCTGGCCTATCTTGTTTTTCTGACCATGCTGTTTGGTCATGATTCACTGCAGGCTGTTTCCCACAGCTCAGCCCTGGGAAGAAGCATGGGGATTGTTTGTAGCGATGATATTTTGTAAATGTCAAGGTTGAGCTAAGCAGGTGTCTGAAGCGCATCCGAGACAAGGGATGCAACACAGCTTCAGCTGAGCCAGGAAAACCTTGTTGCTCAGGCAAAGCCCCAGACTCAACAGCGTATTTCTGTAGCACCTTCCTGTTGGAGAGGGTCCCCAAAGGTGGTCCAGAGCCCCAAAGAAGTGCATTGCTGGGATCGTGTAACAAGCAAAAGACCCCTCCTGTGCATAGTGAACCAAATACGAGCCCCAGCACCGATGACACCTTTCCAGCCATTAATGATATTGTCAGCCTAACACTGCTTTAAAGTTCCTTATCAAGGATGTATAAAGATCAGATACGGGGAAAATAATCCATCTGGTATATTTCAATGAAGAAAAAGCTTACCTGTGCCTGATGATGTCCTGGAACATTTAGTACTTGCAAGGACACTGGAGAACAGCTCACCAAACACCCTTCCAAGGACAGATAATACTAGAGCTGTTACAAGTGCTGCTTGCTATATCTTAAGAGCATTGGAGTACCTTTTTCAGCTGGAGGGCTGCATTCCCTCATAGGGACCCATGTGGGTAGTGGTAGGTGGTACAGTAGGATACATTCCAACCATTAAAAAACCATAGGGTTTCCCCTAATAATAATAATAATTTATTATTTCTACCCCACCCATCTGGCTGGGTTTCCCCAGCCACTCTGTGCGGCTTCCAACAGGAGGTTAAAAATACATTAAACATAAGAAGAGCCTGCAGCATCAGACCCAATGGGCCATGTAGTCCAGCATTCTGTTCTCATAGTGACCAACTAGATGCCCACAAAGTGAAGCCCAGAAGCAAGGCATGGGCACAAGAGCCTTCTTGTCCCCTCTTGTGGATTCCATCTCCTTTAGTACCGTTTGGTGCAGCTCATTAGGCACTGCAAATTTGAATTCATTTAAAATACCATAGATTCCGGCGTATAAGACGACTTTTTAACCCCGGAAAAGAGGTTAAAAAGTCAGGGGTCGTCTTATGTCTTATACGCCGGGTATGGGCAGCGGGCTCTGCGCTGGGAGAAAGTTGCCCGGCATGGAGCGGAGCCCGCCACCCGCTGCTGCTGCAGGCTCCGCACTGGGAGAAAGACTGGGCTTGTAAGACGAACCCCCAAATTGCAGCTGCCAATTTGAGGGGGGTCATCTAATAAGCCCTGTTGCCTAATACAGTGGTGTCCCGCGAGACGAATGCCTCGCAAGACGAAAAACTCGCTAGACGAAAGGGTTTTTTGTTTTTTGAGCTGCTTCGCAAGACGAAAACGTCTTGCAAGTTTGTTTCCTTTTTCGTAAAACCGTTAATACCCAGGGTGCATTGCTTGAAGAGGTGCAGTTGTGACTTGACTTCGAGGAGCAACTCATTGCACGCGGTGTGGTAGCCTTTTTTGAGGTTTTTGAAGACTTTGGCGATTTTTGAAGCTTTTCCAAAACTTCTTTTGCAGCCATTTGGTAAGTTAAACTTTTAAAACTTTTTTTGGGGTTTTTGGATTTTGGGTTGGGGTGTTTGGAATTCAAGGACTTGGTGTTGGGGAGAGGTTTGCAAGAATCTGGAAGCTTGTGTGGTTTTTTTCTGCATTTTTCTGATTTTTTGTGACCATTGGGCCACTCTGCTGTTTTTTTAAAAAAATTCTGGGTTTGAATTTCTGTGTGGTGGGTGGCTGGGGGAACAGTTGAGGGGTTTGCAAGAATCTGGGAGCTTGTGTGGTGGGGTTTTTTTTTTTTTGAATTTTTATGATTTTCTGTGACCATTGGGCCATGTTGTTTTTTTTTAAAAAAAAATTTCTGGGTTTGAATTTCTGTGTGGTGGGTGGCTGGGGGAACAGTTGGGGAGGGGTTTGCAGGAATCTGGGAGCTTGTGTGGTTTTTTTCTGCATTTTTATGATTTTCTGTGACCATTGGGCCATGTTGTTTTTTTTAAAAAAAAATTCTGGGTTTGAATTTCTGTGTGGGGGGTGGCTGGGGGAACTGGTGGGGCGGGGTTTGCACGAATCTGGGAGCTTGTGTGGTTTTTTTCTGCATTTTTATGATTTTCTGTGACCATTGGGCCATGTTATTTTTTTAAAAAAAAAATTCTGGGTTTGAATTTCTGTGTGGTGGGTGGCTGGGGGAACAGTTGGGGAGGGGTTTGCAAGAATCTGGGAGCTTGTGTGGTTTTTTTCTGCATTTTTATGATTTTCTGTGACCATTGGGCCATGTTGTTTTTTTTAAAAAATAAATTCTGGGTTTGAATTTCTGTGTGGTGGGTGGCTGGGGGAACAGCTGGGGAGGGGTTTGCAGGAATCTGGGAGCTTGTGTGGTTTTTTCCTGCATTTTTATGATTTTCTGTGACCATTGGGCCATGTTTTTTTTTTTAAAAAAAAATTCTGGGTTTGAATTTCTGTGTGGTGGGTGGCTGGGGGAACAGTTGGGGAGGGGTTTGCAAGAATCTGGGAGCTTGTGTGGTTTTTTTCTGCATTTTTATGATTTTCTGTGACCATTGGGCCATGTTGTTTTTTTTAAAAAATAAATTCTGGGTTTGAATTTCTGTGTGGTGGGTGGCTGGGTGCTTTTGAATTTTTTGGATGTGAAGCACTCATTCTTTTTTTCCCCCTGAGTTTGCGAAGCTAGGAGCTGTGCTGCCATGGGACCCAAGAAGACTGCTGCTGCAGAGGCCGGCGAGAGGAAGAAGGAGAAGGTGACGCTGGAAATGAAGAAGGAGATCATCCGGAAGCATGACGGTGGAATGCGTGTGACAGACCTCGCCAGGGAGTACGGGAGGAATCCATCGACCATCGGGACCATCCTGAAGATGAGGGAGAAGATCCTTGCGACTGATGCAGCCAAGGAAGTCACCAGGATTGTAAAGAACCGCCCAGCTGTTCTGGAGGAGGTCGAGAAGTTGCTGCTCATCTGGTTAGAAGAGAAGCAGCGTGCAGGGGACACAGTGACTGAGGCCGTCATTTGTGAGAAGGCCAAGGCCTTGCACGCAGACCTTGTCCGGGAACAGCCAGGAACCTCAGGCGAGCCAGAAGTCTTCAAGGCAAGCAGAGGTTGGTTTGACCGGTTCAAGGCAAGATCTGGAATCCACAGCGTGGTCAGGCATGGAGAGGCTGCCAGTTCTGATGTTCCTGCGGCTGAAGACTTTG